GTACGGCACCAGCTTCCAGTATAAAAACCGCTATGTTATCTAGGGTTTCACGCAGATATAGTACTATACAAGCCCTGACGTCTCATTGTACTTGACGTTTCAAGACGCTCCAGCAAAGAGGGCTAGGGCGATATCAGCTAGTAGCCAGCGTAATCGCCTAACGCTCGTATTTTGTAACGAGTGCATCCTTTATTCGACGACAAAACGATCTTTGGTTGCGTCATGGAACACCAGGCGACGTGCTTTATCATTTTTTATTGGGGAGGTGGTAATTTTGTTCAGCAATGGGTTGATAGTCACCTTCGATAACAATAACGACAACACCCCATCTTTCTTTGCGTGGCAGACCCCGACCAGGCACCTGCATTCCACTGCATTACCATTAGTTGCCTACAAGAAGCAAGGCTACAGTCTTCGACTAATTTCCCAGTGCTCACTGTTACAACTAGGCTAGTAATGTCAAGTGCAAGCGGTAAGGACGTTGTTAACCCTTGCCCTGTCTTCATGGAGGCGCTTACCCTCGCAAAGCCGCCCAACGTTACATAAGCATATACTATCGACAAAAGATGTTCACTAGCAAATCTCAGATTCTTAAAGTGGACTCCAACAAAGACGAGGAAACCCACACAACGAATTATTGAGAATATAAGTAGAGCTAGTAATTGAACGAGCCTCGATAACTCTGATCTGCGAAGTAAGGCACATCGCTCCAGGGCAATGGCAGGGCTACAAAGAAGCGTCTGCGTGGATACTGCCTCGGACTCAACTTCTCAGACTGTTCCGACAAACTTGCAAAGACGCGCCAGCCATAGCTACATACCGTACATTCCCAGGCGAACGTCGATGGTTATCCGAGATAGGGTAGCTGGCGCATCGGAGATTAACAAGGACTGCATTCCTATATATCCGTACATCAAGGAAGATGGCACTAAGCTGATGGTGAGCGAATACGACTTTAACGTGAAAATGCAGAAAAAGTATAGGGCTCTACTTGGTGATATATATATTTATCCTGTGCTGGATCCAGGTAAGAGGCCGAAAATTGCTAAAGAAGAGCTGCTTGAGATCACCAAGGAGGATACACGATTTCTTGATTACTTCATACCTCACGAGGTCGAGGTGATGATTCGCGGTGGTATTCATACACTAAAAAGGGACGCTTCAGACAATTTGTACATGTTTGGCAAACAGGATAACGACGTATACGAGGTGAAACTTAAGATGGTAACTTGCAAGGAGATGAAGGAGTTTGAAGCACAGCAGAAAACGATGGCGGATAGCAGCCAATTCTGTGCACCTACAAACACGAAAGATATTACTGCCGACGATGTGATCACGCAGTTCATCGCCGGCCTGCACGTGCCCACCGTACGACGTGTGAAAAACGTGTTCGGCTATTGTGAGGGTGAAGTCGAGATTCTCAATAAGCTTCGCGAGATGGGCTTGCTGGAAAAGTACGAAGAGGAAATCGACGATGAAAAATACTTTCAGCAGTTTGTCAAGAATAAAAGTCGAATTTTTGACGTTGGTTTTGACTATCGTCGGCTCAAAGAGGAGGAGAAAGAGTACGGTTTTGTGCTATCTGAGAACACATCTAAGAAAACTTTCGAAACAGAAGATAAACCATCGGACACGAGCTTCGAATCCGAGGTGGACATTGAGCCATTCAAACTCGAGGGCAAATCACCGTACGACACCGCTCCGTCTTGCGACTCGGGCCTAGGATTTGAATCCCCGCCAACGTCACCCAGCTCACATAGCAAATCGCCAACTCCCTGCAACTAAACGCTCTCGTTCAGCTACGCTAATGAAACTTCAGACATTTATCCGATATACGACTAAGAGCAATCCGAACAAAAAGGTCTGAGCAAAAGCCTACAGTGCTGTTCGCCGAACGCTATCTCGTGCGTAACTAGCGGAACTGTATTATAGGCGACGTGTAATTAAGTTAGGATTTCTCTATGTATTACGATGCGAGAAAAATAGCATAACACGTTCAAGTACTCGGCGTGACTAGAGCTATTACTATGATCATCGAAACGCTCAACAAGGGTTGCATTGTCAATTTATATACTCATTATAATTATGATAATAATAATAATAAATAATAACAATATTATTAATCATATAATATTATTATTATTATTAAATAAACAAGTTTACAGATCAATAACGGGCAGATGTCTTAATTTGTCTATTGTTCTGATTAATTGTGCTAGTACTGCGAATACATATATTATTATATGTCTATCAACAGAAACGAGGGAAAGCCCTGTCAACCTATCTTATTAGCCACCATTTCGGGGCTACTTTTGACCTAGCATAGCAACTGTACTCGGGCGTAATCTCATAGTAAAGATGCCGGTTCTGCCAAATGTAGGCTTGAATAGCGGCTGCGGCAGCGACAATTTTTTTTTTTCGTGTATTGTATCATTTCGCTATACAATACTAACTAGTTTCCGCTAACAATAAGCGGAGTGCGGTACGGCCTGATTTATCTCTGCGTACTTCAAATAGCTTCACGATTACTCTTCGAGAATCGTGAACAGCAATCACAGTAGACCGGCTGTTCACGCGCAGGTGACTAAGACTACTATCGGTTATCACAACGGCAGGAAGCTCGTCTGGTCAATGCCAGTGCCTATCACGCGTAGTTTTTTTCCTTTCTACCCTTTTCAGAAATGTCTGGCTGGTGATTTTTTTTTGTATCGTGCCTAGATGGAACAATGAACTTCCTCCTCGGCCTAAATCAACTATTCCGAGTCGCTATGTACTGGCTCTTACCTAGCTAGCATGATACCGTACGAACATATAATGAGTGACCCGGGTTTGATACGGTAAAGGCCCAAAAACCGTGCCAACACTGTTGAGGAATAGTGAACCGAACTACACTGGATCTGTATAGCGAACATCTACCCAACATTGTTCTAGGGTTTTGCCTTGAAACTATTCTCGTTCGACCCTGTTCTCTTTTGGTTACTTGTTACTTGTAATGACGATGATCTCCTAGAATTACTGTCACATTGTGTTAGTTTGATCTGCGACGCTAACCTTTCGAGCGCGGAAGCGTTAGGCAAATAGCGTCGCTTCCTAGCTTGCCATCGGAGTAAACAGATAGGCCTTTGCTTTGCCGAATGAAGCTCTGCTTGGTAGAGCTAATGGGAGGAATCAGTGCTTGATTTGTCTAGAAGCCAAACACGCTAACTGGCCATCGGACAATACCTGTTCGAAGCGACAGGCCACAGTTGATTGGTTGGTAGACCTAATGCTATTGTTGCGTGACTTCTGTGACCGTGACAATGAACAGATTTATATGTAAACGGTACGGCAAGGCAAAAACGAGACGAGCGCAGCAACGGGCGATGGGTCGGTGAACATAAGGTTGTCAATGCTGATACTCTGCAAACAGCTTGAATAGAATTGTTAAAGGGTCGACAGCTATAGGTAAACGCAGTCTCTCGTATCGATTAAGTAGAAGCCATCGTGCAGAAAGCGCATGATGTGCCATTAGATCAAACACGAGTCGTAGGAATTGTACGTGCCTGAATCAAATTTTCAGCTGTCTTTTTCAAAAAAATTTAATGCACGTGTGTCATGATTTGTTATCTGAAAAGAACAGGGACGTGTAAGTCAGTGTGGTACTGTTGTGGAGAGCCCAGTACTTCAGGCCTATTTTTTCGAACAGTAATAGAACCACTTTATCACCTACGATAACATTGTATAAATTTATTAGTTATTACCACAACTTCTCGATAGTCGTGAAGGACTTGTTTTTTTTGTCTCGGATCTTGCAAGTCAAGAGTCACGACTGTTTTGGGGAGGCCTGTGAGGCGATGCTCAAATAAATCTTCTATTTTCACGTCATAGCAGTGCACCAGCACCTGATCGCATGTGGCCTGAATGCAGCGTCCTTTACGGAATCAGCATAAATTTTGTACCAGGCAAACAAAGTCTGGAAAGTGGGATTGATTTGTACGTATGATCTTCAAATGTTGTTTGCCCGACATGACATTTATGTTAATTCCGTTTATAACGTTTAGCCATCGATAATCAGTTTTACACTGTCGACGCTAGGCCAGACGCGTATTTGATCACTGATGAAAATATTGGCGACCTGCCACACAAGCTATCGCTTTTCGCCGAAGGCCACATGCGAACGATTCAACTGTCACTGAAGCTTACTCGTCTTGCGCGTTAATAAAATAAATTGGCTAAAAGAAAAAAGATGAGAGCAGATCATGCAATCGTAGAGCTTTGTCGTTCTACGGCAAATGTGGTCTTGCTTTCTAGTGGTGCAATTCACTAAGGTTTGACCCGAGGCAGGTTAGAAGCTTCAGTTTAATAAGAATAGGAAGCAATTAAACATAGGGTCGTATCTTCATGTTCGTCACGCCGGCGAAGATACAACAAACTCTATAAATGAGCATAAATTTGGTTTACATATGCGGTACATATGACCGTATTGTGAGTCCCCTGTGCAATTGGGTCATCATTATAACGTCGAGCACTCTAGACCAGAAACTCGCAAACGTAACAACAATTCGACGACTCGGATAGTCAGAGAGGGAAACTGACCGCAAGCACCGATAGAGAACTGCGGAAACACCTATGAACTGTGCCTCTTGTGGTGGGGCTACAAAGGAACAAGATATATCTGTGTGTCTATTTGTCCGTAATGGAGTAAACATTTTTTCTTGCAAGGGACGCGTGTATATGATTAGTGACCGATTCAGCTAGTCTGATAAACCATTAGAACTCAGGCTCTTAAACCAGCCCAAGCCGTGATCTTAAACTACAAAGAACATTGTAACGGATTAACGTACTTGCTCCGTAAATAATAAATCATAGCCATCGAAAGCTAAACATTTTTAAGGTTTCATGACCTGAATATTCATCTTCAGATATGTTTAACTATTACTATTAAGTATCGTATAGTATTGTACTGTATTATTGTGTATTGTGTGAATATTTAACTTGGCCTTTCATATTCAATCGATTAGCCTGTGGGTTCGATCTACGTGACGATACTCGACTATAAACCTCTTACTACCGACGAAGATGGATTAGTGCTCAAAGAAGGCGATGAGGTCAAAGTTCTCGAAACCGGAAAACCTCGCAAGTGGAAGGTCTTCAAGATGTCCACTGGTCAGTCGGGCTGGGTCGGCTCCTACTGTTTGGAGAAAACAGCAGGCGCTGTCGCCACAACCGAACGTGTTACGTCTATGCAGGAAAAGAAGATCAGTGAAGTTTATCTAACTCGAAAGGAGTAAGTATCTCCCGAATTCATTTTTTCATTACACAAATCTCACCGAACCTTCACCGTATTTTATATTATAATATATATATATATATATATATATTGTTATAATAAGTTGTCTAATGTAACATGAAAGTTAGTTGTTCTCTATAACTAAAGTTATTTTGAGCAATGGAATAACAATATTATTTCGGTGGTATAGTCAATGGATGTGGTAATATGGTACTTGCCTCGTGTCTGACCCCTCTAGCTTGAAACGAGAATTCCAGTGAAGTATCTATTAATATTAATCTCTGATCGAATGATACTAATAGTACGTAAAAATATGCTTGTGACCACTGGTATGACGATAAGGAGTGTTTATGATTAAATTTTATAATCACCGTCACCGAGGAGAGAAGTGATTGGTAACAGTATCCATTATTATGGTGTCAGCCGACGATAAATTATTATAGTAGAAACCGTCTCTGATCGGAACAAGGAGGAACGCTGTTACAGGTGGTGCTCAGGTTGATTTTTTCGTTCGACAAGACCGAATTCAAATGGAATTCACCTACTTCGTCGGCTCTATAGAGCACCAAACGATCGTGTCCATATTAAGGCTAGTTGGACGGCCTTGCTTGTCAACGTTAACCAGTAGCTGAGCGAGTTAATAATAGAAAATAAGTGCTTATTAGGTGATAATGGTATCTCACAGTTGCGTCTCGAGTCTCGTAGCTAGAGATGGGACTGTTTAAATTATGTATCTTACCGATTATACTGAACAGAAAAGAGAGATAGCATTGATGTCATCTATTTTTCTGCTTTGTTTATGGGAAGGTGATGGACAATAACTCAATTGATTTAAAGTTTGCAAATACTGATCGTCGTGTATTAAGTAGAACCATTTAGATTTGATATATCAGTCAATGCTACGTCTATTGAATAGTAAGTATTATACAATATGTTTCTGCGTATCTCTTATGGAGCTAAGTGTCCTCGTTTTCCAATTATTTCGGTTGGTAACAATTTTCGTGCTATACTTCTAGCGTATAATTTAGTGACTCTTAACAGATCACTCATTTATCAATACGATTTTTATCGCTAAGAGAGAATGAGCGACCGGTTATGCGAACTTGACGAGTGGGTGTGAAAAAACGTTTTTAAAAGACTGCTCCGCCGTTTGTCAATCAGTATGTGTATTCTCGCTTGTTGTGTGTTAATCGCCGCTATACGAAGCCATACCATAGGTTTGTAAAGACCACAGAAATGAGAGTTTACAACTGACGATAAGATTGAAACTCAACTCAGTCAACTTCATTAAAGAGGCGCCTGCTGGGTTTGCAAGGATTCCGCGATGAAGTGAGTTACAGGTAGTTTATGACTACGCAGAGCACAAGGGCCGAGTTTGCACGCCAAAGCGCAGATTAAAAAAATAAATAGACAAAAGGAGCGTCCCCGTCAGCCTCGAAAGTAAGAAAACCATCCAGAACAATTCGTAGACGACATTTCCGTTTAAACATATTTTTTTTGTGTTTTGAGAAAAGAGGGGCTAACTATTCACTATGTGCCTGCACTAACATAAATGCTGTTGCAGGAAACTGCAAATTTGTTCTAGTAATATTTTAAATAACTTTAGCTCGTTTCTTAACTGCGAGAACTGAGAAACGAATAAGCTCGCATGTTAGTTATCGTGGCTCTGTGTTTGATAAGGTTTCGGTCAGCTCAAGGCAATAAAGCGTGCCCAATATGCACACCTTTGGTGATTTATGGCAGCCGTAAAGTGCACGACAGGTAGTGACCAGTCACTTTTCACCCATTCATCATGTAGTGAATCATAATAGTGCTGGCGGGCCCGTCTATTTTTCTATTCGTCGAATAGAGATCTATTAGTGGTTCGTTCTTGTAGTGCTTTATGTCTCTCTACGAGGGAACTGAAACGACGATTACCACCCCGGAACGCTCTATTGTGCTAGGTGTAAAGGAGGCAAGGTGGAAGTTTGCTAATGTCAAATGTACGACGCTCTTCCCAGACAGAGGAAAGCTACCGTCAACGAAATTTTCCATTTGCGCCTTTGCAATCTCTGTGGCCGTTGTTTTTTTATTTACAGAACATTAGTGAAGGAGCTGGTTGAGACAGAAGAGGACTTTGCCCGAGATATGCTCTATGTTGTTAACAACTACATGAAAGAAATGGACAATCCCGCAATGCCCAAGAGACTTCGCGAGTTTAAAGACCAACTGTTCTGTAATTTCAAGGATATCTGCGACTTCCACAACGAGTACGTAAGCAACACGCGTAGCTTAGCTGAACAACACCTGATATCATACAAAGATACCAATACTAATATAAGGGATACCACACACTGATAACGGCAAGAACAGCCGAGGCAACAGTCTAATTTTGATTCTTCTATCAATTACCTAAATCATAACGAATTCTGTAAGCATGCTATATATTTGTCGTTGAAATTACATAGTGGAAAAATGTCGTGGACATACAAAGCAGCCTTAGAGGACATTTTCGAAACCTGTTGTTCATTACATTCGTCTAAATAACAAAAAAAAAAAAGCATAACTGAAGAATGAGGAGCATATTTATTGTTCGTTAGCTACACGTGAAGTAAATTCGAACGCAGATGTTCAAGTGAGATTAAACAAAAGAAAGACGATGATTTAAGATCAAACAGAGGAAGCAGTGTGTTATATAGTATAATCATTTGTCTGTGGTTACGAGCGATCGGCTGATTTCATTGTTTGTAGCCAATTAATTACTGGAATAAAGTTCAACGCTCGCGAGCCAACGAAGCTGGGTACGACGTTGCTTCGAATGGAGCGCGACTTTGACAAACATGTTAAATATGTCGAGCAAGAGCATAAGGCACAGCAGCTCCTTAAGGACGAACCCGAGCTGCGTGAATATCTGGAAAGGTTCTCGAAAAAAATTGGAGATGAGAAGACCATTCAGGAACATCTCAAGCTGCCATTGCAGCGCATCAACGATTACCAATTGATTCTTAAGGTCAGTGAATAAGCCTACAGCTTAGGTTAGGTAGCAGTATATGAACCTCACGCACGGGTGCATTTTTTTATATTACCACTTTTTGTTCAAGGTTAAAAATTTTATTTGTAAAGAAAGTTGACTATTACGTACTTCAATCTTACTTTTTTTCTATACTCAGGAGTTGATTAAGTGCAACGCGAAAGCCGGCGAGGACTTTAACGATTTGCAGAGGGCGCTTGACTTCATGCAAGCGATCCCTCAGCGGTCAGTCGACCTCGACTACATTAACAGGATGGAAGGATATTCAGGGAACATTCAGAAATTCGGAAGAATACTTAAGGAGGTAAGCAAGGAGAAAGACCCAGAAAAATGGATACCCATCACATAGGTCTACCAATTTTGTCACTAATCCTCTCAGCCGTCAGAGGTTGTCTGATTGGATCACAGCTATCGTAACCGCATTAGCAGATCTGTCTGTTTTTCATCATGCAACGTACGAAACATTGTTTCATCATCACATCGTCAAAGCGAATACTTCATAACGGTCCATTATCGCTGTGACTCGTGTTCCTAAAAAAGGGAGACACAGTACACTATATGAAGGATATTCCTGCTATAGCTCGCTTTCATGATAGTCCTTACGCCGTCGTTAGACGGGAAGGGAGTCCTATCATGAACTGCTAATTGCCTGATTGCTTACTTGATGCTGGCGGTACTTGCTTCAGGGCAAGGTGCTCGTCACGGACTTGAAGGGTCGCATTCAGGAGCGACATGCCTTCCTTTTCCGTGGGGGTCGGCTATGTCTTACTGAGGTGCAGTTCCGCGGCGTCAGCCAGAAGGAAATCTACATCATGAAGAGCATCATCAAGGTAGTGAACATCTAAATGATGTCCCAGAATGCGCTGATCACCGCGTAGTTCACTAGTTGTTGTTTCGGTCCTGTTTCCTTTCTGTGATGACTTCCGGAATGTACATGCTTTCCGTCTTATAGCTGTGTGATATTACTTTAGCTACTGTCACCGCCCCTGCATTCACCGTTCTCGTCCTTGCCATCGACACGGAGTTCATTTTTTGCTTGTCTTTTGTCGTTTGCTCTCGGTAACTTGTACTCGTAACAGGCTGATAAAAATGGCATATTTTCCTCTGGAAGTATGAAACAAAACCTTTGAATGTAACGATATTTACACTTGTACTATGTGTGTGCGTGTTTTATGCGTTACTTTTATTAAATGGTATGTATTAACGGGGAGATATTACGCTACAGACAACGGGGACAACAGTAAGCGAAGAAGCTGGAAACCTGAAGCTGACGTCAACATCTGAGGGTCCAATCATTATGAAGGTCGACGACAAGGAAGAGTGGTCCAAACAGCTCCAAGCGTCCACTGTTAAATCTGAAGGTTTGTATGATCCAAACGCAAGCACGAAGCTCTGATCCTTAAAAATCCTCTAGGAATTCAAAATGTTAAGTCATTCGTAATTTTATGGTATTCGTAAGTTGAAGTGTTTTTAGAAGAAGATGGCTAAACATCTAAATTACACCATAGAATACGTATTATTTTAAAAAATTTTGATACCCATGGCTAAATGCATTAACTAAGAAATACGAGGTGACCCGGGCCATTGATCGGCGCTACCTAGGTAATCCATGATTATACGATACTATACGTGCAATTGTTCTGTTGCGCGCTAAGCTTACGGTAAATGATGGGCATGAGGTTAGATATTTACCGACCATGAGCCAATAATTAAACGCATGTAATGACCTATCAGACTGAACAATATGCACACTAAGCTAGCTAAAACTTGCACATATTGTTTTTGCCATTCAATAAATTTTTCCTATAACCTGCTTAGAAATTAAGCAGAACGGAACATTAATGATGTATGTATATATACTTACATATATATATATATATATATATATATATACGTCAGATATATTTTTAACCATACGATTATAGCTGCCGTGTGGCAAATAACAGATGGCATCCCATCAAAGCAACCCTTTTTCAGTCAAAACACTAGCCTCGACAAAAAAGCGTGCTTATGGCTAGTACACAAACAATCAGTAATAGACAGGTGTGATTTAACTATTAGTGTCTCACCTGATCGTTATCTCATTTCACCTTCAAAACAACATCACTGCTGCTGCGATTTTACTATGTCACTCTTCGATGCGAACGGTTCCGCAATAGTCGTGGAGAAAATGACCGCTGATGAGGAGCTACGTGTCAAGGAGGAAGAAGTGTCGACCCGGATCGAGATTACACAGGAAGACGACGCCAATCGAACAACGACAACCGGAGGTACGGAGTCTCTCCGCAGTGGGTCAATCACATCCGTCGATGGTTCGTAACACCTCATGCAAGCATTACTACTCGTCTCTGTACCTGGCCACTGACCATCAGTCGCTTTGTTCTTTCCCGAAAAGAAGAACCATAAATGAGAAACTTGAAAGAATTGAAAAATCTAAAAGGCGAAAGAAAAATGATTCTTCGCTCTCGATTCCCGTACTCCTCCTTTCTTGAAGGCGGGTTTGTTGTTTCATTTTAATATCAATATGGCTTTACCATTCTGTTCCATGTTCATACGCGATTATCTGATATTGACCCTATTAGACGCGTATGGTAAGTGACACGCATCGAGTTTGACACTGAGGGTAATTAATACTAGGGTGCTGATAGTGCTGCTATGTGCTTTTTAGGTATTCTTAAGAACGTCAAGATCCCTCAGACACGGAACTTGAGGCTCTTAATCTTGCAACTCACTTGTATTATTTTTGTCTTTTTATGCAACACCTGCCTGGCCATTGTAGTTTTTTGATTTTTTTCCGAGTTGTTCTTTCCCCGGCTTACTTTGGTTCGTAATGTAGCTACATACAATATATAGACATATGTTGCGTGTACTTGTACTTCTATTGTGAAGTCCCGTAAAACATCCCTTTGCCCTGACCGCTTCAACGTTATGCGTCTAATCTGTGACTGACCAACTCCTCTGTGCATTATTCCGTCGTGCCTGGGTCGGGATGGTGAATATTTGCTTGCAGACGAATTGCTCTCTGTGGCTTCCAACCTCGAGTTAGACGCTGATATTGTTGTTTCTACCGCAGTGTCGGACCTCGAGCCTCGGGGTACGAGTCCAACGAGCGGGGAAAAGCCCAAGTTCGTGCAGACACTTCGAGGAATATCGACACATCGTAAGTGGATAATGGGGAATGACATGCGTCATTAATTGTGGTACTGAAATTATGTGATGACTGGCTAAACATGATACGAACACAATGTTCTTCAAGCATGTTGAAACAATATGCTAAATATAATAGCATAGTATATTACTAAGCCTATCGAACACTCTTTCCTACGGATCAAGTTGTATTTCTTGGTGGTTGAAGATGGTGGGAAAATCCTAGCTTGTCAAACTCAAAATCTACAATTGGCCCTGAGTAAGCAGCGACAAGCGGTTATACAGTGTGCACCTACTTAGTCGTTATCGCCGATTGCCTTGCTTGTGTATATGACATCTAGGAAACGACACAGCCACGTTAGAGTGTATAATTGAGTCGGAGCCAGCTCCGCAGCTCAAATGGCTTAAGAACAACGTTCCCGTCCGCAAGGGCCCAAGGATCACCCAGTTCAGCGACTCAAAAACCGGTCGCCATTCACTGACAATTTCCAATGCGCAGCCCGAGGATGCGGCAATGTACACGATTGTCGCCTCTAACCCCTCGGGGACAACTTCCTGTTCGGCCCCGTTCAATGTCAGGACTGGTAAGTATCCATGTGTAGAAAGTATGAATGAAAATGCGGTAGAGAATAGGTTCAGTACGCACTTTATGTTGGTTAACCAAGATTCTGTGCCAGCTATAATTAGCCGCATATAATTTCAGCTTCTGGCCGACCTGACTCGAGGCCTACAAGCCCCGGCGGAACAGAGTTACCTTTTGCACCCGTATTCAAGGTAAAACTCAAGGACACGGAATTGCTTGAGGGTACCTCAGTCCGCTTTGAGCTTGTAGTGCACGGATTCCCGACACCCGAGGTCGCTTTGTAAGTGTTAAGTAATAATTTCCAACAGGACTGTATAGGCCGAGTTCGCTTCGTAACGCTTCTGGGCCTTATCGCTAGAAACTTTTGTCTTATCTAAACGAACAAAGCCGTACACATCTAATTTTCGATGCATACCTATAAAATGCATGACGTACAGAAGCGGTTATTACAGACGAACAAAATTTAAGACGTAATGCATGTATTAGATCAATGTTTGTTTTGAATTCTATTCAAAAGATGCTTTGTTAATAATTTGTGCAGCCAATAGGTCAAGCTAATGCTTCGAACTTTATATATTCAGTAGCCTTCGATAGCCGGTAAAATTATCGAAATTGAAACATAAAGTAAGCACAAGCTAAGTAAACAATAATTATTATAAATAGTATGTTTATAAAAAGTTCAAACGCATTAAATGACACTATTGTGATCCTGTGCATTGTTAAGTTATAAGGATGGCGAGCCACTTCAGATGGACGACCGCATTCGGGTGCATTATGAAAACAAGGAGGTTTTTGAATTGATCATAGACCACGTCACCGAACAGGACTCCGCTGTCTATTCATGCGTTGCCATGAATTCTGAGGGTTGCGACTCTACGGCGGGATGTATCACAGTGACAAGTGCGTAGAAGCGACAAGTTTACGACTATATATAAGCACGTTCAGCAGGGTAACGCAAAGGCAAATAGAATTAACTAGTACGAAATAGCAGCCAAGTACGAAGAAGGCCATAGAATTAAATTAAAGAAGATTTGAATAAAGGCGAAGTAGGTGACTCTGTGGTTTAAACGAACAATGCATAACCCATTGGGGGTTTGCCCTGTGTTAGGCCCGTATTTCGCCTTCTTGCGTTACCCAGTGAATAAGCCGTGTTTTGATTGAATAGGTTGTACATTTTCGAGCTTTTTCCCCGCGTAAAACCCTCTTGTCAGGCAATCCATGGGGTACTATATCTATTGTATATTTGTTTTATCGTAGCCTACGATATCGACTCTGCTATTCTTTGTCCTGCGTATTGACAAGCGCTATATCGTTATCTTTTCGAACAGTGCAAAGCGTATGAGTCAGTTGTCTGAGGGTGCGATGTAGGTTTTAATTGACGTAAGCACAGTATATCATAGCGGATAGCGTTCATACATAAGCACGTGCACTTCTAAACACGCCGACTCACATACACAACTGTGATGATAGATTTCGAACAGATCAAACATACCATACCATATTAATGACAGCTAGCGGCCTATGCATATGCTGCAATAGATAAAGATCTAATTTGCATGAAACCCCGCCTCTAACGTACATCTGTTTAAAGTCTTCTTCGACTATCTCTAAATATCTTGTCGTGTTGAACAGAAACCTTGCAACACTGTATCTCTAAGCATAAGTTAGTCAATAAAAAGTAAAATCAAGTTAGACCGGCTTTGTTGTTGGCAGTTAGACCGACAAGTTTGATCCACATTGTTCAGGCTCGGACGTGTGCTTCAATCACTTAATAACTATGCAAACATGTCGACCACGAATGCCATAGGCCTTAACAGTATATAAACTGCATTAATTGATACGATGTTTGATTCACTGACCCGTTTCCACAAGCCGCTCGTTACTAGCCCGATGTAGCCTAGAGATCCTTGAAGCCATCGTAACAAAAACCGCTCCTCTTTTACTTTTAGAAATTTCACTCAAAAGAAGTTCACTCACTGATGCGACTAATCCTTGTTAGTTGTACGGTCTACCTCCACCCTAGCGCAGCTTCATTTTTTACATTTGTAATATGATTAATAGTGAACCCCTTTCCTCAAAATAGCCACCCCTCACTGTTCAAGTGACTTAATAATCGCACCCGAATTATCTCTACTTGGTCGAACAAAGTAAACCAAAATGGCGACAGATACGTGTCGTAGCCCTATTGTCGGTGTTGTTTTCGTTGCTAGTTGAAGTCTGATGTTGGAGGAGGTTGTTAACAACAATGAATACGCTTAAAACCCATCGCCCCGCAGATGGCTGAAAGGCTTACGGTTTAGCAGATGCCTTCCTTGTTATGTGGATTAATCCAAGTCACCCGAGAGGTCAGTTCGCGAGGAGTTCAGTCAAAAATTAGATCGAACGCCGAAGGTGTGGCTTGGTCTGATCGAAAATCGCTGACGTGAACGGCCGCCCTGTTGTCAATAGTGGTAATTTAGCCAGCTAAAGAGTGGCTATTGAGAACTAGTTACTAAGCTACTAACAACTAGTGTTTTGACTAACGACTTGATCGTGACGGCGATAATACGTGTGCCAATATGGTGGGTGTTCTCGTTGTTGACGACGGCAAATGCTGATACGGAAACAGAAAGCAAAGTGCTCTTCCAAGGCCTGACGGAGGACGGGAACGCTGGAGATAAGTCAACTACACCACAACCAACGGTGTCGCCTGCATTCACATGGTGGGTACTCTAGCTCAGATAGAGAAAGTTTGTCGTAGGAGGGGATCTTCAATCAAAAAGAGCCTGTTGGAGATCCTTCGTACCCTTTTGATGGGTCGGCACTGCATATGTCGCTGTCGGGGCTTAGCGACGTTGGCATGTCAGTGGCAAATGTTACCAAGTGATACGACCGTATGCAGAACGGCCAAGGGTATAGTCAGCTGTGCGCAGTTACTTCTCTGGCTATATAAAGTAGATACAGCTATTAAGAATCTTGGAGGACTAAATTCGACCAACAGCGCCTATGAGCAGTGGACAATGATAAATGAATTTGTGATATGATAATGGAAAATATCCCCTAGTTTTTAATCGTATAGTACTACGTACGTCTCCTGGTATTGACGCGGATGGCTGATTATACTTTTGCAGGTTCAAAGATGGCAAAGAATTCGAAGCGTCGGAGAGATTCCAGGTGGCGTTTAACGATGATGAAGACACGCTAGCATTAGTGTTTCAACATGTCAAACCCGAGGACGCCGGCATTTATACGTGCGTCGCATCGACGTACAGTGGCAAAATCTCTTGCTCTGCTGAACTCACCGTTCAAGGTCGGCACCATTTCGTAATACTGCCGCAGTCACGTCCTGCAACGCCCTGAAACAAACAAAAGCAAACTTAATGTAAAGCATGGTTCCCGTTCTAACTTCATCGCACCGGCCGTTCAACTTCCGTGGCATGCCAATAAAGTCCGCAGATGCCACGGAAGCTGTTGGCTTCGATTATGGGCATGATACAGTTCTTCTCCAATGCATGGCATGTTTCGAGTCCACCTGCTAAATCTCAGCTGTCAGCTCTTACCTTTGTAATTCATGTCTGTGTTTTTATGTAAATATACGATGAAGAAGCCAGGTCACGGTTGTATTTCTGAATTAATAGCATTTGTATTTGTAACAACTTACGTCGACATCGAAATGCTACGTGACACAAGTACACGACCGAGTTAATTCAACATCGTTACCTTACCCTGTATATATATTCAGAATAAACAGTAGTACATATATCTTTTCTACGATACGAGACCTGGTTACACGAAGAAAAGGGAACTCATGTACGAAAGCTTTAAGAGTTTTAGCCTGATAAAGATCCTCTCATTATCAGACTATTGTTCCTCCCAAACTATTTGTCTTCATTATGTGCACTATGCATAAGATGAATTCATCGTACGGCGCACACGAGCCCAACCTCAAGCCCCGGGCCACCGTGAGAACTGAGCTTAAGCAACTTAGTCAGTGATGAACTTAGCCCATAAGCGATCAAAGCTTTTCTGAAACTTATCTTAGCTTTTGTTTGGCCGGCTGTTAAGTTGGATAACAATGGGCGTTTGATGTTAGATGTAGTGTTCTCGTGCTGTATTGACGAGTCTGTATAGTGCTGGTCACCGTGTTCTTGTTATGCTTAGTTTGCCCATACGTCGAAGGTGTGCCTCACCGACTGCGTTACAGGTGCGGTGAACTACAAAGAGCCGTCAGCCCCAACGATTGAGGCAAACATCGAAGACGTTGAAGTCAGTGAGGGAGCATCAGCGATGCTCGAACTCAAAATTACTGGCTGGCCGAAACCGAGAATTGTATGGTAAGCTTACCGCAAACGGGGCCTTAAAAGCGATCTTTTTCCAACTTAAAACAACTAAGAAACCCGCATTTTAGACCATGGGATACAGGAAACTGTCTTACAGGAAAACTGTCAGCTTATCTTAATATATCGTGTCCCCTGATCCTTTTTTTTCCTGTTAACATATTTTAGGGGCTTCAAAATGTACGAGCCATTCTGCGATGACTCTTAATTTCAGTCTTAATTGACCTCATTGACAATATGCGTCATGTTTTCTTAGCGTTTTGTGAGTGTTGTAGAATTGAAAAAGTTCGCGCCATCACGTTTATATTTCATATTTCAGGACGAAAGGAGAAAAACTTATCGAGAGCGGTTATGGCGGGAAGTATAAGTTTTTGTTCGAGGATGACGAAAGTATGACCCTTGTCATTCGAAGCGTCACTAAAGAAGACGCCGGCAAATATGACATAGTTGCTGAAAATGAGCTCGGCTCAGCGTCTACTCACTGCAATCTGCACGTGAAATGTACGTAGAATTCAAGCAAAGTGGGTTCTTTGATATTTCCAAACTTATCTGAACATAATTACAGTCGTAAGTTTTCTCACCCAACTTTTCACAGCGCTGAATGAAGACCGAGCGTTGATTGAACGTTCACATGATTATGGTTGTTATTGAATCAGCGTGTATTATTATTATATAGTTTTATTATATGGTGCAGATGAGCAAATAGCTTGGCTATCCTTGTGATGAAGTCGACAGCTTCGAGCTTCGAGCTTCAAATATCAGCTTGAGTGCTTTCTTCTTTTGAAGCGGTAGGTATTTGCATGCGTAATTCATTCTTCGACCACCCACGGGATCGACTGAGACACACCAACAGAATTTAAATACTTGTCTAATATTATTGCACCTATTGGCTTTTTTAACAAAAGAATCACACCTTATGATTCTTTCACTTAACTTGAGTTAAAAATCTGGCGCAAAAAATATTTTCATTTCTTACCTTCGGTTCCGTAGTGAACAATCAAGATATGTCAGCGTACACGAACGACCGCTGTGCGTTGTGACAACACATTTAGAGTTACCCTGAAGTTAGGTATTCGATCGTAAAGCTAAGATTCCTGTTGAAAGTAACAGTGAAATTTTTATGTTTGCCATGTAGGCCCACCAAAATTCAAAAAAGAACTAAAGGACGCATCGGTAATGACAGAGACGCCACTCAAGCTAGACGTGGAAGTCGAAGGTCTGCCGGAGCCAGACGTCAAATGGTAAGATATATAGGGTGTCCTTGATGTGGCCATAAGTTCCCTCCAACGGGGTCTGTTACTTCATTAGACGTTTGCATTTTAATTTTTGACCCTCACAGGTATAAGGATGGCCAACAAGTGTTTAACACGGAAAGAGTAAAGCTCGTACATCAGGTGGACTCAGCAAGCTACGCCCTTGTCGTAGACAAAGCAAAGGTCGATGATGCTGGTAGCTACACCTGCGTTATTTCGAATCCGCTTGGAAGTCAAAGTGGGCACGCCGCAGTAACTGTTAATTGTAAGCAACGGTGACGACATTTGCAAAGATGTTTCCACTTTAGATATCCATTGACGCATAGAGGTTTGGAATTGTTCAAGCTATAGGCTATCTCATTTAACAACTGACAATCAGTAACGACGGCTTAGGTGTAACATATATATTACAGATATATATATATATATTACAATATATACAGATTAATAACTGTAGCTATTTTAATTCAGCCGCTCCCAAAATAATCAAAAAGCTCGAGTCATATGAAGCCACTATCACCGAAACGGTTAAACTTTCAACGAAAATTGCTGGTGTGCCAAAGCCTAAAGTCGAATGGCTGAAGAATGGACAAGCGGTGCTTATCGATGGGAAGAAATACGTTGCCAGTGAAGATGAGACGAACGTTTTCAGTCTAACGGTAAATGGAAACACGGCTTAATCACTGACGGTTGAAATTTAAGAAATAGGTGCCTATTTCAGTAATCGAATATTGAAACATAGCTCTACCTCAAAATAAAGGCTAAAATTGTTTCCGGTCACCCTGCTGTCTGGCGTCAACAGCCTCTGAATTGGCTCTCTGAAGCTGGCATTCCACATGTTGCATGTTGGAACGGCATGAATCGCCTACAAATTGGCCAAAATGCCCCTATTTCCATCTGCGCTGTAATAAAGCCGAACGGCTTTTACACGATACAAATGACGACCAAAGTATTCAGGAGCTATCATGTGTTATAAATAGGGTAAGCATTTCACCTAAAATGGCATTTATTGTTTGAACGCTTTAGATTGACTGTTGCGGTCCAGACGATGTAGGAAGTTACACTGTCGTGGTTACCAATGATTACGGCAAAGCTGAGGATTCTGCCCAGCTGACTATCAAAAGTAAGTTAACTACCTTAATCCAGTTAGCGGATAAAACGAACTGTCAAAATCCTCTATGTATGTTCCGTAACAGGTCAGTTGTTATCTTGTATGGATAATAGATATTTACCTATGTCCTTATTTGTAAGTAATCGTACGTATATATCCCAAAAGTTTATTTGAGAAGCCACGATTTTTCTACATTGATGCTTCAGTCAAGCCCAAATTCACGAGGGGTTTAAAAGAAAAGGAACTGGTCGAGAGTGAGGTGGACATCGAGCTCACCGTAGTGGTTGAGGCACAGCCTGAGCCGACGGTACAGTGGTGGCACGATGGCGTGCTCATCAAGGATTCGAATTTGTACGTCACGAAAGCGATGACGGAAAATGGACAATATACGCTTGTCATCAAGCAAGCCGTAGCCGAGGCCGGAGGCACGATAAAGTGCACCGCCGAAAACAAGCACGGGAAGGCTAACACCGAAGCCAAAGTGACCGTCAACGGTACGTCGTTTCACAAAACATACAGCGGTATGCTATCTGGACAAATGCGCGAAAAACAACAGAGTCCCATACCGTCAGTTGTGATCTACTTATCGAATACTTTTTATAGCGAATAGATTTTAATCTATTCACTAGGGCTTCGGTGGGAACAATTTGAGTAATTAATGCATATGAATTTACGTCAGCTCTATACCAGAAACGATGAAATAATTTGGGAAATGAAGTCACGAACGTGTTTTTTGGACCTCTACAGCCAAACCGAAAATCACTGAGGGTTTGAAAAATCAGTCGGTGGTTACGGGCGCTGACGCTACGTTCACAATCAAGTACGCTGGTGCTCCGAAGCCGGAGGCAACTTGGATGAAAGACGGTGCAGAGATCAAAGTGGATGGCAGTCACTACCGTGTTTCCGAGGCGGAAGCTCAATATACTCTTGTCATTAAAGATTGCAAAGACGACGATAAGGGTCTATACAAGGCTGTCATTGAAAACAAATATGGAAGGGACGAATCGTCTGCTGAGCTGAAAGTTGTCGGTAAGTCTTCATGCATGGAAAGAACATTAGCTTAGCGTGGCTCTATCTATCACCTTTTTATTTAACGATAGTAAATCTTCAACTCTCGAGCAGTATCGCCAATAGTGGGTAACTGCAGGCTGGGAAGACGCATCTAGTAGCAGGAGAAATGCTTCAGTAACGCAAAGCTTCCACTATCAATAACGTCATCCCATGAACCATTCAAGCGTACACAGCCTAACCCATTAACGACCCATCCATCATCTTCAGTCAAAAGAATGATTTCAACTATAACAAGAACAAATAGGGATAAACGTATAGTTCGTCGGGTATCAACACTGCTGTTGAGGTTGTACATACTCATGTCAATGAAATAAACGCTTTAATGAATTGGTGTTATTATTTATTAGTGGTGGTGGATCATTACTGAGCCGAGTGCATTCGTTGAGCTTCGTTGAAATTTTTGCTACAGCGTACGTCAGTATATACGGATACGTGTCTGTCTATACTATTTACTGCTTCAGGCAGATCACTGCTTTTCTGCGAACGAAGTCATCACCTCAATGGCTTTTTTACTTCCTGCTTCTTTCATATCTTTCTTTCGGTAAGATTTTCTAAAGCCACATGTTGATGTTATCGACCTACCCACTGTTGTGTTGTCACTCTGCACTGTCTGAAAGTAGACTTCCAGCAAAATTTTCGTTGTAAATTTCAAGCCAATATTTCTTCTAACCCCCAACATGTACCATACCTATGCATGTTATATCGCATAACTCGTGCTTCTGTCACAGTCCGAGTTTTTAATATATTCCTATTTCTAATTCGTGGAATATTTTAGTCACTTGACTAAATCGTTGGATGCATGTTCTGTTTGCATTTTACTATTATCTGTTTGTCACTACGTCAATCTTTGCCCCTTCATGTTTTTATGATGATAATGTCACAAAAAAAAACACCCCTTACGTGGATGTGGGACTGTCTGGGATTTGTCTGAGGATGTACGGTGCAGAACCGGAAATGTATTTGCTACACAAAGCCAATCCGTACTGCCTCGTTTGTGTTATATTATATAGGATAAAACGTAGACGAGGCGGTATATTCGCATGCTATGACTGCTTAGTTACAGCGCTATCATCACGACGACTAACCGATAGCCATTGCAGTCACAATGTGCGACGAAGTTCCGCCTATATTTGTTCGAGAACTGGAGAACGTTTCGGTGAACGAATCCGAACGTGCTGAATTTATCGCCGAATGCAAAAGTTTACCAGAAGCCAACGTTCGGTGGAAGCGCGGCGAGATGGTGGTGGCGGACCACGCACGCTACGAAGTCTCTTCTGACGGAGGAGTGCATAAATTGGTCATTAAAGAGGCCACCGAGGAGGATGTGGGCATCTACTCCATTGAAGCCAGCAACCCGGCAGGCAGCGCTCATTCTGAGGCAAAACTCACGGTATATGGTAAGTGCTGCAATAACTTCTATACAGTTGACTTCTATATAGGCGACTCATTCTGTTACGATTGTTCTGCTTAACGTAATCCGGCATGGAATGCCTGTGTGGATAATACGTTATTATTAAAAAATTGTTTCCTACCGCATATCCTGCGATAGGTCAGCGACTAACGATAGAAACGTAGATACGAATCTCTATCGAAACAATTAATAAACGAGATATTTTCATTCTAGGGAATAGAAAGAAGAAAAAGTTTCTTTTGTTTCTTTAATAGAGGCGATAAGTGACTCGAAAGAAAGTCTTTTATTACGCGATAGGACGTGACTATTTTTTTTTTTGGTTCTGAATCGCAAAACCTGGAACATTCCTAATTGCACGAGCATTTCTATCTTAAAATTATCGCCACATAACAAGATCTACTAAGTGTCAAGAGGATGCCTCATGATGCGTGGAGCAGTATGTGTATTATCCACCCATTAGATGTTACTTAGCGCTATCAAGCACTCAGTTTACTCGCAGCCTCTGAATCAGCTGATGTGGGCCTGAAACTCCTAACCAATACAGTCTGCCACGAATACTAGCAAAGCATTCTTTGGGACAAAATCCACTGAAAGGCCGCGCAACACCAGCTCTTAGCAGGAGCACCAATGAAGCTAAGAAGCTCGAAATGGCTGTCGAACGTTTCTAACGATAGATTTACGCCATGTTGTAAATGAACAATTGAATCCTATTAGAAAAATCAGTTACTTACGTGCCCATGCATGTAGCACGTACGACCGGTAGTATTGATGTTATCGATTTATTTTCAGCCCCTCCAAAGTTCATCGACAGTCTGAAAGACATCTTCGCTGTTGAAGGTGAAAGTGTGTCGTTCTCTGTTGTCGTCGCTGGCAGTCCCGACCCCGAGATTCTCTGGTTCGTATATTTACCCGGCTATTCCTGTCGTACCTTGCCTTACCTTTTATTCAGGTTGTCCTTATCGTTAGGTTGCTCTTACCTAGCCTTTTGGCTATGTCAAATACGAGTAACCTCTACGAGTCAGTTGTCTAGAAAGACGTTAATCGGGGATTTTCACTAGGGTTTTTATCTGCATAGGTCTCATACAGAAAATCGTTGACGGCAATCAGGCAGAGCGAGTATCATCCAGTATTCGCGCTTAGTCAAATGCCGAATACTGAATGCCAATGACTATTTTCTATTCACTAGCTGTTTTATTAACGGTTAGGGGATTCCTTTAGCCAACAAAACAGGGCCGAAATTAAGCTTTTTTTTGCCATAAAATCGGGTTGAGCATTCGGTAAAGGGTCAGTTGTTCTACTGATCGAATCCTAGACAAAATCGCTGAGTGGCTTCTAACGTGATCTCGTCGAGAGGTTCTCGAGTCTCGTGTAAGTGTGAACTACTCCCAATATTTCCTACTCATTATACTATACTACTAAATGAATTTCTATATACATGTTCAGCAAATCAATATTTTTACGCAACTTATGTATGTGACTTTGCTTTGTCCTATTTAAATTTTTCGGGTCAACCTACAATATAGGAAACATAACGAGGAAGCTGTACAGATTAGCTCCGAGATTCAGGGGCGAGAAAATGGTCAGGTGAAAGTTCTTATAATCGACGGAGTAACTAAGGATCATATCGGAAACTACGTCTGTGTCGCTAAGAATCCTTATGGCCAATCTTCTTCACAGGCGACTCTCACAATTCAAGGTAACTGTAACTTTTGTCGGAAAACGTTTAAGAGGAGGACGGCGGCTGGTGGAGGCTTCTAGTAAATAATCTTATTTTCTTGTTTCAGATAAGCCCCGGTTCTTGCAAAAGCCTGAAAATGCGATTCTTCGAAAACGGGAGAATGCCATCTTCCGAGCAAAAATTACGGGTTATCCCGAACCGGCCGTCACCTGGTACGTTCATTCAATGTTTGTCGTCCATTTGTGTTTGTGCACGCAATATTTGGCTGCATGAATCATAAAGCGCTCTTGTACAAGCTCTACTTGATAAAAAATCAGCTACCTGGATAGGATAGAGCGATGTTGAACGAAGTAGATTTTTTTCATTTGTCATAAGGGACGAGCTGCTAATCTTAAAGACGACAATTCGATAAACTTATACAGCAGACGGTGAATTAGGTAGCTAATTGAGGAGGCTAGTATAAAGGAGCAATTAAATATTGCACTCTATGGATAATACCAAGAATGTAGAATAAAGTGTGTGAAGCAACCATTAAATTCACAATGAAGTAGTTACTTCAGAGAGCTTTAACAGTGAAACAGATCATAGGGAATCAAACATTTTCAAATAAACGAGCGTTGCCAATGCACGCGATGCGTTAGAATGAAAGCGTTAACCAGTTGGTGCATGCACGTTTTTGTTTCTAGGAGTAAAAGCGGCGTCGAGGTCAACTCCGACGACAAAATTTTACTGACCGCGGTCGATGGCATATACAGTCTAAATATTCAGGACCTTGGAGACGACGATGTAGCTAGTTATACCTGCTCGGCTAAAAATGAGCATGGCGAAGTTAGCGAATCTGCCGATCTCACTCTGATAGGTATGTATTTTTGCCATTCTTTTATTTCTCTCATGTTTATGGTGATTGTAAGTTGACGGCGCGAGCTAGGGGAACTGAGATCGTCCTAATACTGATTGAATCTAGTAGAAGGGAGTCAGCTTCACCTAACTTTTATTTTTTAACACGTACAGGGAGCTTGAAGGTTTCAAAAACGGGAAATCTATGTTCCTGTGGTAATCATCCACTACCGTTCTTTACTAGACTAGAATAGTTTTCGCTCGTAAGCCTCGAGCGTTCAAGTATCTATCAACCTATGAACGTCCAACATAGGTTGTTTGTAGATCTTAGTTTCTTATACTGATAAAATATGTTTCAAGTTTATGACGCAAAAACGTTTTTATAGTGCGTTCTATAATTTATAGGATACACATTTTTGAAAATTAAATCTCGCTGTAACTAACGACAAAGATTTTTCAGCGTCCAGCGAGTCTAGCGAAAAAGCCGCTCCGAGCTTCCTTCGAAAACCACAGGACGTTGTCACGATGGAGGGTGAAGACGTCCGAATCTATGCCCGTGTGATAGGCCAGCCCGAACCCGAGGTGCGGTGGGTCAAAACTGTCAAAGATTTGGGCAGTTCACTGAAGATCGACAACGAGCGTTGCCAACAAGATGGCGATATGTTTACTCTATTCATCAACAAATGCTCTCGAGACGACGAGGCCTCGTACACCTGCGTCGCCACAAACCCTCAGGGAAGCGTGCAGGAAAGTGCCTCGTTAACAATACTGTGTAAGTATCACGATCTACAACAGGTCTGCTGGTAATTTTCATGCAGAACATGTAGCCGTTTTAACCGTAATAGAAATTTAAATTTCTAAAAAAAGAAAAAGAAAAAAATTAAAATGTACGTATTCACTACAGTAAACATCTTCCGATGTTACTGAGCAAACTATAATACTCAGTGATACTAATCAACGCAATGTTTATATTTAGTTTAACAAAAGCTTAAAAACTAGTGGGATTAATGCAAATAACAAAGCCAATCAAAGCCTTACTTGCATACTTTTCAGTGCCCCAGGCACCAACTATCGAACACATTGAAGATCAAAAGTGCTGCATCGGCGAGCGCGTTAGGTTTTCCGTCATCGTGCAAGGGGTGCCCACACCCTCCGTTAAATGGTACATATATCCCAATAGTGAAGTCAGTCATTGCTATTATTAGGCCTTTGCGACGCCTCTATAATTCAATCGCAATTGCTATAAATGTACATCTAAAAAGAAGGAAATGGTTGGTCTAACAACATCAAACAGCTCATTACATTATCTTTAATTTTATTTAGACAAAATTCACTAGCCAATTTAGGGGAGAATTACCATAACGGTTTGTTTTTTTGGCCGTTATACAGGTTTCGCAACGATTCGACTGTCGAAGAGACGGATAATGTAACGATAGCGTCTTTCGACAAAGCGCACTCCCTAACAATTAAAGAAGTAACGATCCTTGATTTTGCTATGTACACGATCCATGCAGAAAATTCAGCCGGCGAAGCTAACGCCAGCGCTGTTCTTCTCGAGAAGGGTAGGTCATTATAGATCTACCTATTGAGATACCTTCTCGATCTACTGGTTTCAAATAAAGTGAACGTGTTTTCTTTGTTTTTATTCAAAAAAAAATGTTTGTGAGTGTGTGTGTCACGGAAAGTAAACGGCTGGCAGAGTCATTTAACAATCTTCTGTTTGGTCTACGTTGAACACCAATAGCATCTCGGCCTCGCCTTGAACGTCCTCTACTAGAGAAGTTGATTATACAGCAGGGTGAACCACTATTCCTCGAGGTGAAATTTTCTGGTCACCCAGCCACATGTGACCTGACTGAGAAATGGGCTATATTTTCCATTAGACATTCCGATCCCGATAGAACTAGCTCACTTCAGATCGAATGCGCCCAGTTAGTTGACATCGGAAGCTATAGTGTGCGAGCTGAGAATCGCTATGGCAAATCCAGTTCTCGTTGTGAACTCGATATGAGACGTATGTTACTTTCATATCATGTGATTATGTCTTGGTTAATCTGGATGTTGTGTTTCTATTTTTTGTTGTAAGAGCTCATTTTCGGACGAGTTGTTTTTTTTTTTCGGTTCTTCAAGTAGCTTCTATTAATAGGATTCACGAATGGATCAGGTGTGCTATACATTTGCATGGTTAACAAGCAGAAGCTATTTAATAAGAGGACGGTTCCAGCGCTTCAACAAGAGCCCAGTTGATAATAAGCTGCTGCTGCTAAGTTTTTATGCCCCGGTGGCACACTCGTGTTCGAGAAACCGCTTCAAACAGTTTCGCTTCCATCGCGAAAACCGGCACGACTTGAAGTCTAAGTTGCATCTTCTAGCCTAGTTTCGCCACGTGGACTAAAGATGGCTTGCCGATCAGAAATCGTTACAAGAAGTCCTTCAGTCCAAGTGATGGACCACGTGAGCCTTGCAGATAGTGGCATTTACGCAGTTTTCGTACAGTTCCCTATTTTTATCAGAGAACCTCCTGTTTCGAGTACTGCCGCAGTCAACGTCGTCTGTAGGTTTTATAACCAAACCCTAATGCTTTTTTAATTAATGAAAAAAAAAATCTAATTTGGTAAATGTCTGCGCAAAATAATACTACCAACATGCTTGATTCGAGAAAACGACGGCTATGTATTGCTCTCAGCAACTCAACGCTACGTCAACGAGTTTACTCGACTGTTTCGCTTAGCTTGAAGCATTTGCGTTGACACTATTGCAACTGACCTAGTAAAGTTATAATTGTCGTTGAAAGAAGTGGAAGTACGAGCAATGTGTGGCAGGCAATATGTAATGCGAATCTAATTCAGACGATTATAAGAAGCTAGCTAATTGAACTCGGAAGTCCTCCACTGTTCGCCCAAGGTCTTCTTCCGACAAATTAGGTTGAAGGTTAAGCTAGCCAAAAGGTCAAGTCGCTATGTTGGCTAGCGGATCTTTGCCAGCAGTGGCATGGCTAAAGGATCGACAGCCTAGTAGGGTTCAAGCGAGACTAGATGGCACCCTGTTTTTTGGGGGTGACAAAGCTGTAGTTTGCAGAAGCTGCGAAATGCTCTGTTAGGGCGCGCAATCCTTACGAGGTGGAAAGCAGCGCGCCAATCCCCTTAAGCCGTACGTTGTCGCTTGCATTTAACACGTTTTTATATGTTATAATTTTGCGTTGAAGCCGGCTTCACATAATAATATTTATACGATAGTATTTTATTTAAACGCGCTCTATTTATAAAGAAGTTTATAGAACGGGACCTTTTAATTCCGCTGCCAGCATAATACTGCTCGAAATGGCCATCCATACATTTCCGTGTGAGTGTCACTCATAGGCATTTATTTGGCTACGTTTTTAATTAATAATTAAGTAAATTCGTTATTTTTTTTTTGTTCTATAAAATCGATGAACTGCAGGCATCATGAAGTTAAAAATCGTTATTTTTTCGCTCAGTCGTCTTGATCGGCTGGTTATGAGTGCACTTCATTTATGCCTTAACTTTAAAGAATTTAGACTGTCATCGTACTCAACAGGGGCGAGCAGAACTTTGCAAGAATTTTTGAAGAAATCAACGAGGGTAAAAAATGGCGATCCGATGAAGTTCGAGGGGCAAATCGCTCCAAATTCCGATGGCACCCAGATGGTTCTATGATCTCGAAAAAATTCTCTCGTTGTGGCTGGACATACTGCTCGTGTAGAGAAGTCCAATATTATAATCTCATTGAAGATAGCATCTATTCGATTAAGCAGCTTTTTCGGAAAAGGAGAAAGCAGAGCTTTTCTTGTTCCGTGCACGTGAAAATCAGAATGATTGCTGTGCCTTTTGTATTATTTTAATAGAAGGCCTTTACTTATATTTTTCACGAGATTTTCATCTTTTGTGTATCGAAAGCCTCTCTAGTTGGCCATGGAACCGTTTATGAATTCCTGTTTTTCGATTTTTTACGGTTATTATACCATGGATGTAGATGTAACTTCGCAGAGCCTTAGAATAATCTTCCAAATCATCAGAAAACGTTCGCCTGTCAATATCCCAGTTGGCGAAGCCTATCGAACCAAAGATCCGTACGGATGACGATTCTCTAGTCAAAATCCACTGGCTGAAAGACTCCGTCCCCATCTTAGCTTCAAATAATGACCTGAAAGCCAAAGCTTTTTTCAAATAAAACCTTTACGTAAAAAGTAGCCAAAAGTCGTTCGAATCACTCAGGATAGTTTAGCGTTCGAGCGCAACGAGATGGCGGGAAAGCCGAAACCAGTGTCCCAATAAACGTGAATGTGTTCATTGGCCAGTACGATGACTTACTGTCTTGTTTGCATTTTGTGTCTGATCGTAGTAGGCGTATCGCCTCTGGTAATCCTGTTTGTGCCCTAGATGTCGAGTATGTCTCTTTCGTTGCACAGTTACGACGTTCTGGAAGCTACTGGATTTTTTAAATAAGAAGGTAGGATCGACCACGAATCGAGTCTATGTATGGTTCGGTCTTGAGTGCGCCCCTTTTTTTCATCAGTTCAATATACGTATCATAATGTAGGCTGCGCCCACCTATTGGCATTATGGTGGCAAAGTGAGAGGAAGCCGAATATATGATCTAGTGTAGCTTGTCCCGCGGTTTCCATAAGTGAAATGAATGTGATCACTCGATTACTAAAAGAACGTGACATTACGGCAGTTGTTACACGAAACTTTTATCCTCTAGGTCTTGATGAAGTAACATGGTTTCGCTATGGACTTCAACGATGCCGAAGTATCTGAGGGCGAAGCTAATTAGCTCTGTCCGGACCAATACCCAAAAACAAAATGTTAAACACGTTCACTTCGGACATTACCTGCTCTCGCAAAGAGGAGGATGCCCTCCGAAGACACAACCGAGTCGGAGTAAGACAAAGCTGTGAAGGTGTCTTCAAATGACGTCACCCAATCCCCCCAAATGGCCGATCCTACGCCATTGGCGTGATCAAAGAATGTGCCAGCCTGACCGTCGAACATGGGTCAGACTTTTCGGATGCTATAGGATATTTATGGCGTACCTTTATTTCTGTAACCAGCATAAGAAGTCACTATTAGCCTTATCGCATCCCTAGTTTTTGGAAACCTACAAAATTCGTGTTGTGGAAGGTGAAGTTTGCGTAATTTACAGAATAACCAATGAAATTTTATCCTAGCGTTTTTTTTTTCTTTTTTTTTTCTGTAAACCTCTTTTAGGCAAGGTAATCATTTATTTGTTTTGTAATACATTCATTTTGCTTGTAAATACATGCTTCTGCGCAAAAGACGATCGAGTTTTTTTTGACAGGTGTTTCTATCTTGTTCCATCAATCAGTTATAGCAAAACCACTACGGACGGGTGTTTCACTGGAACAGCTTTCGCCACTAGAAGTTCAGCCAGGCGAGTCTATCGTCTTAAAAACCAAAGTATCTATTAACGACGATGGATCTCTGCCAGAAATAAAGTGGTTCAAAAATGACGAACCAATTACGTCAAACCGGGTAGAAATTGAAGCACATCCCGATGGATCCATCCTATTGAAGGTTGCGTTCAGTGAAGCCAACGACGAAGGCGTCTACACTGTAAAAGCCAGGAACGAGCATGGGGTTGCTGAAGCGAGTGCGCCGGTTAAAGTATTTAGTACGTGCAGTAATTATCGTGTGGGCTGTACATTACCGCAGCGTGCCGCACGACTTCTGCTTTCGACACGCTTTCGGTTGCCTTAAGTCGTTTGCTTTGTTCGGTTGGCTGCATTTCGTGTTTGTGCTTTACTATTCAAAGTTGCTTTTCGTTTTCTGAGAGGCAACCTTTCAATTCAGTGCGTTCAGGAGGGCTTCGTTACGAAGAGTAACCTTATTTGCATGCTTTGCTCTATTATTGTGTTTAGGCTACCTTTTTACATATCTTATTCGTGTGAGTCCGTCAACGAGACGCGAGCCCAGGTTGATACAGCTAATAAACGCCAGGCAGGCAAGGATAGTTAGCAAGTTCGTGAACAACTTACTGAATAGAGATTATGCTTAACTTTTATAAAGAGGCGCGTATCAACGACAGGTCGCTATTCTTTAGTGCCTTTCTGTAAGAGCGGTCTGAACTTGAGCTTGACGACGATGTTGTTGAGGCAGGAAAAGCCGCTTGTATATTAACCAAGATGCTGCTCAATGCCACAAGCTTCATCCTTGTAGTCAAAGGATTCCATGGTGATCAGGAACTCAATAGGAGGGATCGTTACCAAGTTGTACAAAGGCCCAACAGTGGTGCTGACGTCATCTTTCAGCCAGCCCCCGCATTTGACGATGAAACATACACTGTGGAGGCGACATACCATGCAGAGTAGCCAAACCGTCGGCAATTTTAACCGTCAAATGACCGTATACGAACCTGTTGCAGAATATTAACCAAATGTAGTGTCGTATTGGATGCCAATAATACTATATTTACAGCGGCTTTTGGCTCCCCCAAGTTTGACCAACCCCTCACTGCTATCAATTTCAACGAAAGTGACAACGGAAAGTTGGAGGGTAAACTGACCCTTTACATAAATGGCTGCACTTCCCGAAGTGTCGTGACTAAAGAATGACCAGTCACTGAAAACGGACGATCATATAGTCCCCTTTGGCCTACCTGATGGTAGCATTGGATTGAAGTTTTCTAACGTTGCCCCACCCGACTCAGCCAAACACACCACGATACTCACTAACCTTAGAGGTGACCAGGTAGGTTCTTCTGCTCCACTCGAAGTTACGCATCAGTGATAAGCCAAACGTGTTCGTTTGACTCAACTAATGTTTCCGCAAAATGGCTTCCGGCTCGAAAACGATTGTTGACAAACCGCTTTACATTGACCTAAAACGCATAAAAGATTTACACATGCGTTTCAGGAGTTGCTTAGCCTTTTTCACTACCACGTCGTTACTACGATTTCCATACAAACTATATTTGGAGTGCACAAAAACGGTTACCGAAACTACTCAGCCATAGATTATGCCGCCAAACACCGACTAACTTCGTATTAAAATATATTTTATATATAAGATCTTCATCCGTTAAAAAAGTTCGCGAAAACTAACTGCTGAAATTGTAAGTACAAGTGACAAGCATAGACACAGCTGTATGCTAGGAATAACTGTTTTGTTTTCTTTAGGAAAATTTAGCTAGTTAATAGACTATTGGCTCTAGAAGGCGTTTCTCCACCGATGTTTATTAGGCCGATGTAAAAAAACAACCAATAAAAACCAGCTGCATGCGAAAACACACTAATAGGCAGTATTAACTTGTGTTAGTCTGGCTATTAGAAGAAATGCTCTAAGCAAGCCCTCTTTATTACAGCTAAGGTTATTAAACCACCGACGTTTGCTCAGGGCCTGAAGCCAAGCAAGTTCGTTGAAGGTGGGGTGGGCAGACTAGATGCTAAACTGAACCCCAACGACGACGGATCAATGCCAGATGTAGAGTGGCTAAAGAATGGCAATCCTCTTACCGAAGGTAACCCAACGCAACATTATGTGGAACCCCTCTAAAGGGTTCCATAGACATTAAGTTCGTTTATGCATTATCATTAAAGAATTGCGTTGAACTCTATTATCCAAAGAAAAAAAAGCAAAAGAATACGATAAATAGTACTTCTATGAAGAGCAGAGAATCATGTTATCGTTCTTTTACCCTTTAATAAACAACACGTTTCTTGTAGCTGACGGTGTGAGATTCATTAAAAATCCTGATGGCACCGTAGCGTTGGAAATCCCGAAATGCAAGCCGGAAGACGCCGGTAAATATACTTTGCGCGTCAAAAATCCGGATGGTGGTATAGCCGAAAGCTCTGCCCCAGTAGAGGGTAAGTTATGTAGAACATATCGGCAAATCTTTGTTGTCAATATGCCCCACTTACTGACATAGATGTAATACTATAAAATTGACCAGGTTGCGGCACAGCGTCCCACGCGTACAATATATGCGTAAGCGTATGAATAAAGGAAATTATACATTAATGTCTGACGGAGTGTTTGGATCACAAGACAAACAGGTGTTGGTAGTTCCCCCTAAGAACATGCACACATGATTCACCAATTAATGAAATAATCTATGGTCGAATCGAAGCATATTTATATTCCCTGAAGTTAATATATCTGTAAACAATCTAACTGGCCTACTTCGATTCGTTACATTCTTGCGTTAATCCAACAACAGTGTCACGTAACGTTCCTGTCTTCGAAATACAGCTCAAAGGTCTCAATTTAACTGAGGGTGATGAACTCAAGCTTGTATGCAAGGTCAATTCAGATACGGCCATCACGGCCAAGTGGTTCAGGGATGGTGTAGAAGTGGCCCCAGATCCTTTGGTTGCAACGAAAATCGAACCCGATGGAAGCGTGTTGCTCACAATTGCCAGCTGCATCCCTGGCGATGCAGGAAAATATCGCTGTGAGGTAACTAACCAAACCGGTACCTCATCTAGCGAAGCGAATGTTTCTGTAAAGGCGCTCAAACGCGAAAAGCCCATCATTATCGATGGCCTTAAAGCGACCGCCTTCGATGAGGACAAGCCAGGCAAAGTCGAAGCCAAGGTAGGTGGTTTCCCAAAACCGGATGTCCATTGGCTCAAGGATGGCAAGCCTATAACTGATCCGCGCATCAAAATTGAAACGAAGCCAGATGGCACAACAATACTGGCCATTGATAAAGTGAAACCAGAAGATGCTGGCGAATACTCGATTGTGGCCAAGAACGACCAGGGAGAAAACAAGTCTTCAGCACCGGTTACCGTAAATAGTAAGCTCAATCGTCAGTCCTATCTAATAAAAACAAGAACTCAGGGACACCGCATCATATCTGACAGGCATATGAAGTATGATATATATTATATGACTTTTCGTGTTTATGGAAGGCTAAATAGAGCATGTCAATTTTACGTAGTTTTTCCTGAGGAATATCTATTCTTTTAAAGTGAATTTGTTTTTAAAAATAGGTTTTAGTATCATAATGTTTTTTAAATTCGCATAATCCTATTTAACACAAACCACCACGCATGACTGTGTTTAGAAAAACCATCATTCCTCAAACCGCTGGAAGCATGTACGGTTCATACTAGCGAGACTGCCAAACTCACCTCTAAGGTGGTCGGCTTGCCGAAGCCCAAAATTGAGTGGCTTAAGGATGGTAAGCCAATTAAACCTGACGGAAATCGTATTGTGGCTGCCGAAGACGACGAGGGTAACTGCAACTTGACGATCAAAGACGCGACACCAGCAGACGCTGGCAACTATGCCATTAAGGCCACGAACCCATCGGGCGAGATGAAATCCGAGGTGCCAGTAGAGATCATCGACGATAAAGCGCCCACGTTTCTCTCCCCATTGAAAGATCAGAACGTTCCAGAGGGTGGAAAGCTGGTATTAGAGGCCAGGGTCACGGGCAGTACCGCGCTGAAGATCAAATGGTTCCATAAAGGTAAGCCGATCACCGAGGCTGATGACGCTAGTACCTCATTCAATGGAGAAACGGCTCGCCTTGAGATCCCCAAGACAGCCATGGCTCATGCTGGAGAATACGAATGTAAGCTTCTAAGCCCTGCAGGCGAAAAGTCATCAAAAGCTAACGTGAAGGTACTTCGACCTCCCAAGTTTATCAAACCGCTGCTAGATACCGACGTGCCACTGAGCATGCCCTTGGTGCTCGAATGCGAGGTCCTCTGTGACGATGAGCCAGAAGTCGCTTGGACTTTCAGAGGTGCACCGATACACGATGGCTCCAAGTACACCATTACAAAGATCAATGGCAGGTGCAAATTGTTTATAGCTAATCCGAGCATAAACGATTGCGGTGAGTATCAGTGTTCTGCCAAAAATGCAGCTGGACAGGATTCTACCGCCTGCAAAGGAACTATCAAGTGAGTAAGGAGTATCATGCTTTACACTCACTTATTATTGAGCAGTTTCCTATAAATGTAAGAATAGCGCTTGAAGGGGCCGTTTGCGTCCTCTCTATGGATTGTTTGTTCCATTCTTGATAGGTTTGACCGCACGTTCCAAATGATTGTTAGGGAAAGCGTTTAATTCTATTGCAGACTGTCGTGATCATAGCATAGTAAACGCGAACAGTGCTCTGCCGCCCAGTGGGTTCATCATACAACAAGTAAACACTTTGTGGTCCTCTTACGAACATTTCAGGGAGCCTGCGGCCGCCGCCGACAGCGGCGAACCACCTTCGTTCCTTAAGAAATTGACCGACCAGGAAGTTACCGTTGGTTCAACCGCTAAACTTATTGCCTGTATAGCTGGCAAACCGGAACCTGACGTCGAATGGTAAAGCTTGCTGTCAACAAATCACCACACCATCTCTTGAGCTAGTTGCGATAGCTTTACTGCAACAAAATAGCAGCAATCGTTATACACTATTTTCAGTGTTAGCTATTAGCCTGTTCGTACGCAGTTGGTATTACGTGAAGCAAGTGCTTCGGGAAGCATCAGTCAGTGATACTTTTATCTGTCACTGCAGGTACAAAGACGGAAGTAACGTGGCGCTAACGGATAGACACAGCTTTGAGCGTGACCGTAACGGCATTATTCGACTCGTCATTCAGAATCTCACTGAGCGCGATTTTGGGGAGTATCGCTGCGAGATCTCCAATCCGCACGGAAAGGCCGACTGCTCTTGCAAGCTCAGCGAAGACTGTAAGCTCAATTGGTTCGCCCAGCGTGATAATGATTATAACAATTTGTGCACTAATCAAGATGCTTTATCTGTTGAAGGCAGTAATATTAGCATCTCCGCATATTACCGCGAGTGTCTTAAGAGCATGCCAAATTTTCGTAATGATGACGTCAGTAATAGAACAGTTGATCCCGATCCAAATACTAACCGTAAACGTCCGCTTAACACTGAGGAAGAATCTCGGTCAGAATGTTTGTTTGTTGTAAATAGCTCAGGGAACACTGTTCATGCCACGCGAACGGATTCTGAAAATAGTTTTTCTGGACATTATCGCTCCGCCCTGAGTGACGCTGAGGTTGACGGCAATAGTCTGGGAAGTCGAAAGTTGAATACGCGGTTAATCAGCATGAAAGACAACCCATCGAACAATCTAACGCAGAGTAACGAAAAGGAGGTTAGTATCTTCGACTACTATCGACACGTTCTACCCAAAACTAAAGTCAGTAGCGACTGCCTGCCTTGCCAAGGTTCGTCAGGGAAGAGGAAGCACCGCAAGCACGGATCTCCTCCAGATTTACCGTCGCGTGGCTCATCTCAAAAAAAGAAGGAAAGAAAGCAACATTGTACAGTGACCAGCGACCTTGTCCCAACCAAGATAAGTGGTACGAATGAGCCGAGCATCGCTGACTACTACCGAGCGGTCTTAAGTTTACCAGGCGAACCAGAAAAAAACCCTGGCCACACCCTTTTTCAGCGATGCTCATCAGTCAAGAAGAAGCAACGCAAACAGCGCTCTCTAGAGGATTATGACGACACTGTCGAACTTACCATAGCGGCTTATTCAAAGTATGCGAATGAGACCGAAGACGAGGGTCATCGGCCAAAGCTTCCGCCAAGGGCTTCATCAACAAAGAAAAAAGGAAACAAATCTTCTAGCCCGAAGTCTCCCGCCAGTCCAGCATTTGATTCGCGCGAAAAGACGATGAGCATCTCAGAGTATGCCAAGTACGCGAGCGAAAGTGAAGAGGCATGCACAGCAGCTCCATTGCGACGCCAAGAACTTCCGAGCCGGTCGTTAAGAAAACAGCGACCTTCGGAAGAAGCCAAGGATAGTTCGATGAGTATTGTAGCTTATGCTCGATTCGCCAGCGAGAATGAGGATTCCGACATAGAGCCAAATAATCGAGACACCCATGCAAAAAGATTGAAGGAAGTAATTGTTGAATGTGGAAATGAGGTGATTAGCATTGCAGCGTACTCGCGTAATAACAGCGGTGTACGGGAGGAAGACCTGAATGTAGTCACTGAACAACAAACTGTTAAACCTTCACGACCGAGCCGTCACGTCTACGAACAGGACAAGCCTGATGACCAGAAAAGTATCGCACCGTATTTGCAGTGCGATGAATGCAGTGAGGATTACGAACCTACTAGTTTCTATGTTAAGGCGCCAAAACAGGCCGTTGCAGCCGTCGAAAAATCAATCTTGCAAAATGTCAGCTTAATGCCATACATATCTTTACAACCAGACAGCGCCTTGGATGAAGAATTGTCTATAGGGGCGTATAGCCGATATGCAAGTGGGACAGACGAATCTGAAACGGAATATATGGCTACAAGGTTTGCATTGCCCGTTAGAGGTTCATCCGTAAAAAAAAAGGAACCCCGGGCCTCTCTCAAAAAAGAAAATCTTCTGGAAGAGGCCTTTGCTGAGAAACGCTCCCAAGAACAGTCGCCAGTGGCAGTAAAAACAGTGTTGACAGATCACTCCGAGAAGCGCGCAAACTCTGACGACGCCGATTTACGCGCTAATAATGAACTGAGCATTTCAGCCTATTCACGCTACGTTAGTAGTAACGAGTCAGAAGCAGAGTCTGATGAGTTCGATAGGAAGCGTAGGGAGGCGGCACGAAAAGTGCTTAAAATGTCATACGATTATGCAGCCGATGACGAAGGAAGTCGAACTGATGTAGAAGCGAAATTCAAGGTTATTCTTGACAAGAAAACTAAGAAAACAGTCATCACCGAACTAATCGAAAGCTCGGAGAGACTGGAACTAGAAGTACAGCAAGTACGAGCTCCCAGGAAAGGTTTTGCTGAAAAAAAAGGTGCCACTACAATCGGAAGTACCTCCTCAGAAACTGTCAGTGAAACTGAATCAAATGCCGAGCTCTTCGTACCTCGAAGAGTGATACCAAAGCTCGTAATTGAGCAGAGCAGCAAAATGGTAATTACCTATGAAGGTGAAGATAATGACCAATTCATAAGAATCGAAGAGCCTGTTACACCTAATAACGTTAGCCAAGAAATTAAAATTGTAGTGACGGGGACAGATCAGTCGAAGGAACAAAGCGCAAACCAGATCATGTCTATCAAAGAAATAAGTGATCATAGTGATTCGCAAGATCTGAGATTTCCCGACTTCATTGATGAAGTGAGCATCGCGGCGTACTCGAAATATGCTAGTGAAGCCGAATCGGACGCTGAGCTGTTCATTCCTAGACAGCCAAAGAAGGCTCATGGGGTAACTGAATCCGCAGATAAATCCAGGGTACCCTCTGCAACTACAACGATAAAATATGGTTGTAATTCAGAAAACACTTCAAGCAGCTTACTAGATGCACAGACAGAATTGAGCATATTCGCGTATTCCAGATATGCTAGCGAAGCGGAATCTGATACGGAGATCAGCCGTGCAGGATCTATGAAGCCGCCGCTGAAAGAGACTAGACACGATCCATGTGAGCAAATAAAAGCATCGGAAAACAAAGAGCCGAAATCGAGGCCTTCTACCAGATCACGCCCAGTTGACGATGGTCTTATGAGCATTGCCGCATATGCAAAATATGCTAGTGATACCGAGCCGGAAACGAAAACAACTGACGTTAGTGTGACGACTTGTCACGTTGAAACAACTATTCCACAAATACGTGACGAAACGCAAGACGTAAAAAAGCTATATTGTCAGCACGAATCGATTGGTCGTATGAGCATAGCCGCTTACGCAAGATACGCCAGCGAAGTGGAGTCGGATGTAGAAACTCAACCTCAAGTTAGGCAGGGAAGGCCAAAAACGGCCTCTGCAGTTTCATTAGATGACAAGTTTCCCCCTTCTAGGAGGCCTTTGGGTAAACATGTGCGGTCAGGTCAGACACTTGATGGTCAGTCAAGCGTTGCTGCCTACACCAGGTATATGAATGAATCCGACGCTGAATCAGCGGAAACATTAAAGAACACAGAAAATGCCGAAATCATTCGAAGTCGTTCTGTGATTACTAAAACAGCTGGTTCCCCCGCTGACTCTAGAACAGCTATCAAATATAATAAGAATGAACTAAGCATTGCGGAGTACAGTCGCTACGCGAGCAGCTCAGACGCTGAAGGTTGCCAGACAGGCCAAACTGCTCATGGTAAAACAGAAGCTACGCAACAAGGTGTAATCGATGCAGGACACCAGGAACGTACATTGAGCGAGGCCCACGAACATCGATTGAGTATCGCTAAGTATGCGAGGTTCGCGAGTGACGCAGAATCTGACGTAGATATATGCCGGCCTTCCGAGCAGCCACAGCCTCTACCAAGACAGCGTCCATCCAAACGCAGCGATGAGGTGGTATCTTTAGAGCTGAGCATTTCAGAGTACAGCAAGTACGCCAGTGGCGTCTCTGATGCCGAAAGCATTCCAGAAGAGGAAAAACACTACTCGTATCACCCTCAGCAACATCTGTCTCCAGGGGTGAAAGAACGAACGATGAGTATTGTTGAGTATTCTAAGCGTTGCAATGACTCAGAAGTCACCACGGACGTAGAGCCCCAGGGAACACGTTCACCAAAAAGCCAAAAACGAACGTTGAAGCAAATGAACGGTACGGAAGAGATAAGCATTGCGACGTATGCCCGCTACGCCTCTGAACCCAAAGCTGAAAGATATCCGACGCCGAGCGAGTGGGTAGATCGAACTAGGCTGCCTCAAACAGCGAACTACGCTAGTGAATTAGAGGAGGTTATTCAGTTGGAAAAAGTTGGCAAAGTAGCATCTAGTACGCCTTCAGTCCGCGCCAAGGTTCGACCTGCTGGTGGTACAATATCGAGTAAGAAGGAAAACAGATTGAGTATCGCTCAATATGCTCGATACGCAAGTGAAACTGATGATTCCGATGCTGAAGCTTTTAGAAACCAACGCGAAAGGATGAGCAAACACGTCGAAGAACTGATTGAAGCCCGACGACATGAAGAACCTGGCTTTCCTTCCAAGGCTTCGCCTCCTCGAGCCGGATCTCCAAATCAAAATAGGAAAGCATTTAGGAACGACAGCCACCAGGCACGTAATAATTCGAGCGAGTCAGAAAGCAACTCTGTGCGCCGAAAAGGCAAAAAGGGCGAAGAATTAAGTGAGGCTCCTGATCTAAAATATGAGCGTGATTCAAGCGGTTTCGAGTCAGATGTAACAGACAGCGACGCAGGAAGTGTAAACGCGAAGGCGGGAACACCGTTTACTAAACGATTCGATTCGATTGAAACTAGGCGTGAACAGTTTGCCAAAATTTTCGATAAGTCTTATCGGCCGCCGTCGGAAACACGGCGAAACTATGATACTGACGGGTATGCCTCACAGATGGACGAGCGTACTATACCTGAACGTTTCGTCGCGCCATCGGTACAGGTCCGTCTTTGTCAACGAAGTACAGAATGTGAGGAGCCTCAGGGAGAGGAGCCAATAACGCACGAAGTACCAATGCAGTATGAGGCGGAGTCCCACAAAGAACAAGGTCGATCGACCACGCCACAAGACGCACATCTTGTGTCCGCCGCAGACACCGGATCGAATAATCAACAAAAATGGACCGCTTCGCCGTTATCGAATATCCCGTCACTAGTTGAAGAAACAGAACTTGAGCGTCACGATCATGCCATAGATTCGATCGAGTCATTGGCAACGTATGCACGATTCTTATTAACGATTATGGTAACTTGTGTGGTCTGCCTATGTATGAACCAAGCTTACTCATCCCTAACCGTGAGCTTGAATAGGCGGGGCTTTCCTGGCCACGGGGGTGATGACGACCCTTCTGACAGCGATTTTGACGAGTTTATCACCAATCTCGGTCTCGGCCTTGTATACAAATGCGCCCGCAAAAGATGTTGCAAAGACGATGACGCAAACGCTTAAGAAAACAATTTTAAGGAGAGTTCCATACTCTGCAGGGGCTTTCACATCGAAAGTGTGAGTCTCGTATACGAAACCCAATGCGCGAACCCGTATTGTTCTTCTAATGATCGTAATCATTATGACTGTTACTACTCGAGAGGCAAATAAAAATCATAGGTTAGGATAGATTTTTTTACCTACTAATAATAATCCATGTTCTGGGGGAACGGGGAGTAGCTGTAGCAGCGAATAGATGGCTTCAGTCTCAAGATAGAACAAGGGTAATTAATCGTATCATCTGAAGACGGTAGTCGAGTTGTTCACATTTAAGACAAATCTTCTATCCCATCGACATTTGATGCAACGGAAGTGCATATAATGGGTGAGTCGTCGCAGCGTCATTGAAGTCCGCAGGACTCGCATCCGCAGCCAAGAAGCCGCATTATTACACTATCGATATATCTATACACATTCAATATTCAATTCTTGATAAGGATCACGCAGGAATGCCCAGTTTAGTTTGTTTCTTGCGTGATTTTCGCAACAGAGGCCTTCGCGAGCCTTGGTTGCACGACCCTACCGGACGGGCTTCCTGCTGTCCATTTTTTGTTAGCCTTTGTCGCGGCATTGTTTCAATTTTTTATCTTTCTGGCTGCGTGGCTTGCGTGCGGCCCTGCGGAGAACCGTTGGTGCGGATCACGGACTCGGTCATCTGAAATAACTGGTGTATTGTTTGTATATATTTGTTACATATGACCGGGTCGTGCGGTCAGGGCATCCGCGAATGTTGCGTTTAGCATTACTTGTGATGTTTTCTGTCAATATGCTTCGCATTAGAATAGATACCTATATATACATGGTCAGAAAGCAACTCCGTGTGCCGAAAAGGCAAAAAGGGCGAAGAACTAAGTGAGACTCCCGCTCTGAAATATGAGCGTGACTCAAGCGGTTCTCAGTGAGATGTAACAGGCAGTGACGCAGGAAGTGTAGATGCGAAGGCGGGAACATCGTTTACCAAACGATTCGATTCGATTGAAACTAGGCGTGAATAGTTTGCCAAAATTTTCGATAAATTTTATCGGTCGCCGTCGGAAACACGGCGAAACTATGATACTGACGGGTATGCCTCACAGATGGACGAGCGTACTGTGCTTGAACGCTTCGTCGCGCCATCGGTACAGGTCCGCTTTCGTCAACGAAGTACAGAATATGAGGAGCCTCAAGGAGAGGGGCCAATAACGCACGAGGTGCGAATGCAGTATGAGGCGAAGTCCCACAAAGAACAAGGTCGATCGACCATGCCATAAAACGCACGTCTTGTGTCTGTCGCAGATACCGAATCGAATAAGCAGCAAAAATGGACCGTTTCACCGTTACCAAATATCCCATCACTAATTGAAAAAATAGAACTTGAACGCCATGATCATGCCATAGATTCGATCGAGCCATTGGCAATGTATGCACGATCCTTATTAACGATTATGGTAACTTGTATGGTCTGCCTATGTATGAACCAAGTTTACTCATCCCTAACCGTGAGCTTGAATAGGTGGGGCTTTCTAGGCCACGGGGGTGGAGACGATTCTTCTGACAGGGGTTTCGACGAATTTATCGCCAATCTAGGTCTCAGCCTTGTATAGAAATGCGCCCGCAGGAGATGTTGCAAAGACGATGACGTAAACGCTTAAGAAAACAATTTTAAGAAGAATTCTGTACTCTGCAGGGGCACTCACCTCGATAGCGTGAACCTCGTATACGAAATCTAATGCCTGAACCCGTGTTGTTCTTCTAATGATCATAATCATTGTGACTGTTAATACTCGAAAGGCAAATAAAAATCATAGAATAGGATGGATTTTTTACCTACTAATAATAATCCATGTTCTGGGGGAATGGGGAGTAGCAGTAGCAGCGAATAGATGGCTTGCAAGTATAATACCAGTTTCAAGATAGAGCAAGTGTAATTAATCGTACCATCTGAAGACGATGACCGAGTTGTTCACATTTAGGCAGATCTTCTATCCGATCGACATTGCATGCAACCGAAGTGCATATAATGGGTGAGTCGCCGCGGCGTCACTGAGGTCCGCAGGACTCGCATCCGCAGCCAGGAAGCCGCATTATTACATTACCAATATATCTATACACATCCAATATTCAGTTTTTGACGAAAATCACGCAGGAATGCCCAGTTTGGTTTATTTCTTATGCGATTTCCGCAACAGAGGCCTTCGCGAGCCTTGACTGCACGACCCTACCGGACGGGCTTCCCGCTGTCCATTTTTTGTTAACCTTTGTCGCGGCATTGTTTCAATTTTCTATCTTTCTGGCTGCGTGGCTTGCGTGCGGCCCTGCGGCGAAACGTTGGTGCGGATCACGGACTCGACCATCTGAAATAACTGGTGTATTGTGTGTATATATTTGTTATATATGACCGGGCCGTGCGGTCAGGGCATCCGCGAATGTTGCGTTTAGAGTTACTTGTGATGTCTTGTGTCAATATGCTTCGCATTATGATAGATACCCATATATATATATGGTCGATCCACGGGTTTCCGCGACCAACGCTCGTGAACGGGGCAAGGAACCCGGCATGCGTGTCGCTACGATGCATCACCCATTAGTTCATTATCACTTACCACTCTGGGCGAAGAACAGCTTCTCTTCTTGTCAAAATCTTCTGTCCTTAAACTTCCTCTGTTCTCTCACTTGCCTGAGAGAGTAGCTGTTTCCGATATCCTTGACATTATGTCTTCCTGGTAATCTGCTCGTTGTTAGGCCTGTTGGGGAGACCTCGCAGCGGCACTGAATGTCGCGATTTTAACTTAACTGCTACTTAGAGCTAACTAATAGGCATAAGAATCGCATTTGCTAAGCGAGTGTTACAACTACGGCGACATCGAACAGCAGCGACATCAACAATAAAAACAACAATCAATAAGCCGAAATGGACCATGTGATGCAATCTTCACAGCACACTTTACGTCAATGATAATGAATCATTGTCATCACGCAAGTGATGATCATTCGCTGTACTCGACTACTTGTTTTCAAAAAGTATATTTGCCGGAAGTATACGTAATGAATAAAGCACATTCTTAGTATGGCCTTTGTCTATCTTGTCTATCTCTCTCTACATCTCTTGACTATCTTGATATATGGTTTTTTAAGAATGGTACCGAAGTTGAGGATGCCCCTGATAGGGACATCATAGGGATAGTCAGCTTACAACTAATAAGTACGCAGCTAAACGAGGTGCGCACGGCCGTCGGCCTCGTATGGTTTGCGGACCTGACTTGCACGAAGCAATTAGCAAATGATAGCTGTCACCGCCGCTGGTTGGCCATCAAAAGATGTCATGCTCGTCCTATTACCTTGCACTCTCAAGACAAACGTAAAACAATCCGTGCCTTACATGTCATTCTGATACAACCGAGGAATATGAGAACATATCGGTAACGCTTGTATTTAGGGTAGATAAGAGTCTTATGGTGGTCATGAGCGCCGTGAATCGTAGTCCAACCCAAACGACGACGAGACCGAGATATATGTCAGAGTCCGGGGTTTGCCTTAACTGCCCGTATCCTGGCTACGATGTAAAAGCATCAGGACGTTAATACAGTGAGATATTTCTAGCGAATAACGATGCCTTTAAGCTGCTTGCCGTGGGCTTTTCCTCTTATTTTTTGTGTTGGCAGACCATTAGTCTGGAAAAGAAAAGAAAAAAAATACAAACGCTGTGCGAAATAGAATCAATAACAAATAACGAGAAAATAGAAAAAACGCAGGCACGCATACATACGCATATATAGGGTGTACTTCAAAATGCAGCTGCCATTGACAAGACATCAATTACTTCCCCAGCTACCGATTTCAAGCACCTGAAGAAGGATAACGAAAAGCCAGGTCAGTTATTCCCTTCTGCAAACATTGATTAGAAATGCCCTTCATGTAAAAGTATTTGAATTCGTATGTTTCTTTCTAAATCTGTTCTTACGAATTTTACAAGAATCTGTTGTTCTCGTAACTTTTAGAGATCGCAGGAACTTCTCGGATATAGCAAAACACAAACGCTTGCTGCTATGATCTCTGATCTCTGTAGTCTTTGCGATTATTTTAATATATAGAATGTTTTTTACCCGATGATATAGTTACATAGTTAACCCGATATAAGTGATGGGTCTATTTTTGAATGCGCTAGAAGTCATCAAGCTTAAGAAGTTTGAATAACAGTACGGCATTAAGCTCGATGAATAACAGTAGACCCAACCCGGCTGTACTGGTCCCACCCCACATTTCGCATGCTGCAGCTTGGAAGAAACTCAACTACCAACTCTCGGAGAAGCCAAAACCGGGCCTGAAAAAGCCTGTCGAGAGCAACGTTTCAGATGACGACGACGAACACAGTGATACTGACGATTTCGGTTTCGAGAGGCCAACATTCGACGGAGAAAAGCCCAGCGTTGTTAAATACCTCCGCCCTGACACAGGTTGTTATAGTGTGCTTGATTGTTCTATGTTGTCGATGACTGCACGGAAGACAGCTTGAGGAAACAACACTTTGATTCCATGTAACACTGTTATATGCCTCCAGAACGTTAACAACTGGGCGACAATAATGAGATCGTTTTCGAATTCCGGGTTTCAGCTAAGGTTTTATAACTGGCGCTGATTACTAGGTTCCTATCTACTTCACACCATATCGAATTCGTTTCATATATTCGTTTACAACAATAACCTAAATATATATATATATATATATATATATATATATAGGTTATTGTAGATAGCAGCGCTGTGTGCCGTTATGTTCCTTTTCGATCACTGTTCGTAGTTTAGTTAAAGGTTGTCAACTCGCTGTGTATCGTCGTTAACGATCGTTATGCAGGCGTTCCCCCAGCCACGGATGCGCCAGATATCATTCGGATGACAGACTATGACTGCACTCTTCGCTGGAAGCCGTCCGTTCCGAAAGGTCCTCGAATACCTGTAACGTATCGTGTGGAGATGTGTGACCACCCTGGAGGTGCATGGAAGCCCTATGCATCCGGCATTAAAGATACTACCACTGATGTGAAGGGACTGCGGCCTGGTCAGGATTATCAGTTCCGTGTCCTTGTAGAAAGCAAGCATGGCCTTAGCGAACCTTCGGTACCGGTTACTGCTCACAGGAGCAAGCTAGTAGAAAAGGAAGATCGGCCCGAGAAAGAGTTCATACCAAAAGATATTGACCTCGGTCATGGACTAGATAAGGAAGGAGTTGCACCTTATTTTGTCCGCAAAGAGGAGGAAGTCATGTTCGGCGTTAAAGGACGTCCGGTTAGTATTGAGTTCTGGGTGTACGGACTTCCCCATCCCCAGTGCACATGGTTCTTCAAGGAGCAGAAAATTGAGTCTGGTGGACGTTACGAGAAGCTCCAGGATCGTAACGGTCAAGTATTGCTATGCATCAATCGTATGCAAGAAGATTGCGAAGGAGTTTATACCTGTAAAGCTCTGAATGAACATGGCGAGGCGACGAAATCAATCCAGGTCAAGCTTGCGGAAGAGCCGCAGTTCACCAAACGGCTGGAGTATACTACCGTTTTGTTGCGCAAGAGTGGCGTATTGAGCTGCCGCTGCATAGGCAAGCCATACCCACATATCAGATGGTATAAGGATTGGCAGCCGATTGCTACATCGGGTCGTATTCAGATCAGTTGGGAAGAACCTGATCTGTGCACGATGAAACTCGATGATTCGATCATGCGTGATGCCGGCCTTTATTCATGTAAGGCGACTAATATCGCCGGCGACGCTACTTGCTCGGCAACGGTGATCATTGAAGAGGAGGAAGAACTCTATGATCTGTCGACGTATAAGGCTCCTCGGGTCGTGCGTTCTAAGACGAAGCCGCTCAGCGATTACTACGACCTTGGAGATGAACTTGGACGGTAAGTATATCATACCTCTTGACGATGACCGAGTATTTAATTTACCTATATGATAGCTCATGACATATCTTCAGGGTGTATATTCACTTATAAAGTGGAAACAGAAGCAGTGGCAATAGTCATATGTTATGTTTTTGTACCTATAAACATTTTAGCGGAACGCAAGGAATCACTTATCATGCCGTTGCGCGTGCCACGGGTAACTCATACGCTGCTAAAGTGATGAAACATACGGATCCGCAGTTTAGAACGTGGATGAAGAACGAAATGGATATGATGAACCAGCTTGCACACCCCAAATTGTGCCGTATGTGGGACGTGTTTGAGTCGCAGGACTCGATGACACTGATCATGGATCTCTGCGGAGGAGGTGAGCTGCTTAGCAATATCATCCACCGAGGAGGTGTGACAGAGGGCCAAATCGCCAATTTCATCCGCCAGACCCTGCAAGGTTTGGATTACATGCACCAGCGAGGTATCGCGCATCTTGGCCTCACCCTTGGTGATCTTCTTGTCGCTCGTGTCAATGCTGATGACATCAAGATTAGCGACTTTAGTTTGGCTACACGCATTCATAACGACAGGAACTTCATCCAGGAATACGGACATCCAGAGTACGTAGCCCCAGAATTGGCCAAAAAGGAGCCAGCCACCCTAGCATCGGACATGTGGAGCGTCGGTGTTATCACTTACATTTTACTCAGCGGTGTCTCACCTTTTCTAGGAGAGCATGATCGTGAAACACTGTCTAATATCAAGGACGGGAAGATGAATTTCCTGCCCGAAGGATTTGATGGCGTATCCGATGACGCACGCGATTTCGTTGCTAAACTTATGGTGTTCGAGCCCGATGGGCGTTTGAACGTAAAGCAGGCTCTCAACCATCCTTGGTTGAAGATGGCTGATCTGCCAGACCGGGGCCCGAAACTTTCTAATCTCGAACGCCTCCTGGATTACCAGGAAAAATGGAGGAAATGGTACGCTAATGCTAACTGTCGCACCTGCTTCCGTAGGCGTACACTCGAATCATGCTTCTATGACCCAAGCAAGATGATCTACCCCCCAGGCGAACCTTCTATGTTCCCTGAGACTCCGGCGCGCAAACAACACGTCGTACCCTCGTTCGACAACGACCGCAAGAAACGAGGCTACGATACCGAAAACTTCAAAAACGAATCGAAGTAGGTCACGCAACATTATCATTATTTATTAAATCTAATATATTTAACTCACTAAATTGAGGATGGATGAACCAAAAATGCTGCAACGATATCTGCCCAATGTGAAATCAACCAAGCTTTGTTTGTAAAGCTCTTACCCCTCCAAAGTCATTGAACGATATCGATGGACGTAATAGATTTTATGATATAACAGAATCAGAGTGCGATATCCATTACAAGGTCTCTAAAAGACATTTATGCTACTTTGTGCCCAAATCCTGAAACCAGTTACGCCCAAGGACCGGACACCTATTTGCTACAGCTGCGTGATACAGACTTCCCATTGCGTTTGCGTCAATACATGAAGGTTGGTGTGGCCCGAAGCCCCAGCCTCGCCGAAAGCTTACGTGGACAACACTGGGGAGGATCAGACGTTAGTAGTTCTTATTTAAACGATCAACAGTCGCGCAAATATTCACTTTAATCTTGCCTTAATATATTCTTTTAATCGTAAAAACCAAAATGGGACTCTCTAGTGTACACTTTATAGCTTAATGATACACAGATTTAATTTCATATGTACAGTGTGTGCTATCATGGCAAGCTAGACTCGATCTCTCGTTACTCCTAACGTTATATATTTTATTCAAGTTCATTTAGTTCTTTAAAACTAGTATGTAGCATCAAATAAGAACCTCTATCTGAAATTATGGATAGCTTTGAGTTTGCCATTTTTTTGTTACAGATCTTTGCTCGTGGTCAGGAGCGTGAGCATATCTATCCTCAAGTTGTGATTCGCGAAAGGCGAAAGTTCTACGATATGATGGATGAGGAGATCGACGACGAAAAGAAAGGCGGAGACGATCACAAATCAATCATGCTCCGTCTCAACAAGGAGGTCGGTGCTGTTGGTTACATTAAGAACGAAACTGACGCTGTTCGCAATAATGCGTGGCGTTTCCGTGGGGTAACCCGGGAACAGGCTATAGGCACTCTACCGTTTTTCCGCGAAAAAATTGACGATGCCGTGATTATGGATAATAACAATGTGAGCTTCCATGCGGTTGCTGTCGGAATCCCAGCTCCTCAGTTCACCTGGTTCCGTAACGATTGTCCACTAATACCCACGTCTCGTATCAAGATTGATACTAATGAAGCTGCTGGCATTTCGACGTTAACCCTGGCACCAGGTATGGCCTATGACGCGGGCGTGTTCAAATGCGTTGCACGGAATGCCTCGGGCACTGCTGTATGCCGAGCCCGTCTTCGAATAGGAGATATCCCTGGAAGACCGGCTGCACCCAGGGTGGTTCAAGCCACAGCGAGACAAATGTATATCGAGTGGAACGCTCCTCGTCAGGAAAATAATGCTCGCACGTTATACTTTACTCTTGAGTACAAGCTGGCAACGGCCGCAGAATGGACCAAAATCCCAGAAAAGATCACCAATGAGTTCTACATCCTTGAGGATCTTATTCCTGCCACGAAGTACGAGTTCCGAGTAATAGCGACAAATTTGTTTGGTAACTCCGTCACGTCGGATGCCTCAAAGTCTGTGGCCACCGAAGCGGCAGATAGCACTAACAAAATCAAGCTTAGCCCAACCCACAGCTACCAGCAGGTACAAACCACCGATATCGCCGTCGGATCAGCTCCCGTTCATGACTATTCTCGCGAGCAGAATCCGATCGAACTGAAAACCTCGGATATCAAGAACGATTACAACTTTTCAGCTGAACTGTGCTCCGGTCGGTTTTCAGTTGTCATGTCGGGTACGGTGAAGGCCAACAATCGCTTGATCGCAGTAAAAGCCGTCAAGAATGGCAGGCACGAATATGATATGTTGAAAGGACTTGTACATAGAAACATTGTCTACCTAGAAGACGCCTACCAGGCCGGGGATGTAACCATGCTGGGTGAGTTCACTGAATGCTGGGTGTGAAGCTTCACAGCAAACTTTCAATTGAATTTAGATAATTTTCGTCACGACAGTTCGAAATATTCAAGAATTTTAACTTACCTATTTTTTTTTTTTTTTTTTTAATATTTATCCCGAATGCCACGCTCGTTTACATCTAATATTAATAAGATACTTAATTAACAATTTTCGAAATACACAGGACGATTTCTATGCAAGACTTGAACTTGTCCTGAGTGCCACTAACTGCGTCACTCAGCTAACGTTCATCACTAAGCAACTAGAGTAGTTTGCTTACATTAGCAGGCACATTATTAATACTTATTGTTTTACAGTCATGGAGCGCCTGTCAATGAACATTTTGGCTTTCCTAACGCTACGGAACACCTATAGTGAAGACCAGGTATCGCGAATAATGAAACAGGTCTTCGACGCTCTTGAGTATCTTCACTTCAAGGGGCTTGTCTATTGCAACGTTGAACCTGACTCAGTTTGTGTGACCGACGGCCAGTCATGTATAGTCAAACTGGTTGACTTTGGATCAACCCACGCTGTGCCCAAAGAAGGTGCCCGTATCGTTGTGGACTGCGAACCTGAATATATGGCGCCGGAAGTGGTGCACGGTGAACTGGTGACGTATGCTGCAGATGTGTGGAGCGCCGGTGTCCTTATGTACATCCTGTAAGTTACTTGTAATGCAGTATTATCGTAAAGCATTCAGCTTAAAGCGTACAAGAGTTTTGGCTATTTCTGTTGTCATTATATACATTCGTCGTATAGTGCAGCTACTAGATATATGTTTATAACCTCTAGAAGTTGAAGTGAAAAAAGTTGCGCTATATAATTACAATCCGCTTTACAAATCTTACACAAAGAGGGGTAGACGATAATTTCACACGAAAAGAAGAGCTAGTCTGTGTCGCTGATTGGCTTTTGTCGCGCAAGTTACTCAATAGTATTGGACCTGTGCATTTAAATTCCAGTCTGTCCGGCCTTTCGCCGTTCCTAGGACAAACAGAAGCTGAAACACGTGAAAATGTCACAATGGTACGCTTCCACTTTGAGCATATTTACCACGAATGCTCGTCTGAAGCGACGAAGTTCCTTATCCAGGTCTTCAAGAAGTGTCCCATGTGAGTATCAGCATTTATCACTATGATGCATACTAACTCAAAATACTTATATACTGAGTACTTACATTTTGAGTGATGACTTTCTATGTACGATTGATAGCAGTAATTGTATATAGCGGTACGAAACAATCAGCGTTGTATTCTGTCTATAGGAAACGTGCCACGATCGAGGAATGTTACGAGAATCGCTGGATGCTTCCTTCGGAATATATGTTGCGTAAGAGGGAGGCGTGCGTATTCAAGTCGGAAAAGTTAACGAAGTTCGCTCAAAGTTATGAGAGAGCCAAACGCAATCGGGACAACGCCTGTCAAATGCTCAGTAGCTTTGGACTCAACAGGTATGTAAGTCTAGCAAACTCCCTGTCCTTACCTAGATCATTTCTAGCAATAAAATTTTGCCTTATGATGAATCATCCGCGAGCACAGAAAGGCGTGCGATGCTTACAAAGTATCACACTAATTGTACGACAATGTGTCAATGGTTTTTTGGTCGTTTTCAACGTTCTATTTGACTTTACCACTAATAAAAGGCACAGCATCAATGGGAGCACAAAAAATTTCAAGACACAACATATGCGTCTATTTATCGGAGAATCATCGGACTGTGTCGTGATTATAGTGACACTCAAGGGACTCGATGATAATGTGACGACAATAATGAGTTCTGAGGTGGCAGAGCTGACTATAACGGGCATGCCTTTATTATATATATATATAAAACTGCAACTATATATATATATGTTACAGTTTTCATATTACAAACATACCTAACTCTGTGTGCAGTATATTTTTGCCAACGGGCAAAAACTATGGAAAAAAAACAAAACAATAAAAACGCGCTGAATCTTTGTTATCACTTGTGCGTGTGTGTGTCTGTCTGTCTGTCTGCCTGCCTGCCTGCCTATTTGCATGGGTGCTCCCATTTAGTTGCTCTTTTCGCCTAAAAAGGATGTCTTCAACTAATGCCCCTAGTCTTTTCTGCTAAAGAGTCCCCCAGCTCTTTGCGGGTCTTAATGCCGGTGCCAATATATCGTTCGTGTCAATTTTGCCAACGCGGACGGCCCAACAGTCCGTCAGTATTGATGCATATCGACGTAGCGTGGACGAGTTCATGCTGTCCGCTTCAGTCAAGCGGGTCTCAGCAGCGGCCTCCCTTGGCCGCTGGACACGTCACCTTGCCAACGGCAGTAGCGGCTGAGGCAAGAGCTGTATAGCGGCCGGTTGAGAGCGTCTTTAGCGACAACGTCGGGAGGGGGGGAGTCTATCTATATAATGCGTTTGGCTCACACCGAGTCAACGTTTTATGATGACGCTGGCTTCAAAATGTTTGTGGTAGCATAGTGTGGCCTTTGCATCTCGACGATAGCGTGTGATTTTGAAGCCCATGGCAATGTTTCACCAGCTTGCTGGTCCTTTCTATTTATTAACTTCGTGTGAGAGTATACCAGGACGATTATACAGTTCTGGTAAGGATTCTTGAGGTCTTTTATGCCCTGGCTGTATCATTTGCTAGTCGATCTCGTTCGTCGACGTTTCTGAGACTAGCGCCCCTTACAGCATCAGCAACAGTCTCAGTCCCCTTTAGTAACACCTCTTTTCCTTACCTGTGCCAGTGATAATGCTGCAGGTAGTGCGGCTGCGTCCTTAATTGCGAGCCGCCTCATCTATTGCGCTTAATGACGCGAATTGGTCTACCGCCATCGGCGACAGTTTCCTCGCCACGATTTCCTTAGTCCACACTCAGTCGTCCACAAAGTCGCCCACATTAGAACCTCAGCTGCTGGGGCAACAACTAGTGCTGCTATTGCCGAGTGGCTACAGTTGCTTTGTCATCATTGACGCGACACCGTCGATGGTGATGAAGAAGCCGAACAGTGTCGAAGCGTCGAATGACAGCAGCTGTCAATGACTTCACCGGACTTCATTTTCCACTAGTAGTTCGTCGTCTTTTTCTCCATCTCCTTTTTACCTTGTCGTTGCCGTTCGTTGTTATTGTCGTCGCTACTACCGTTGTTATGTCCCGCGCTGCTTCTTCTTGCCACTTTGCATGATAATGGGCACCGCGCATTATCGACAGCAATACCGACTTCATACATACATATATAGAGAGAGAGAGAGAGAGGGGGGTTCGTTCGCCGCCTTCTATTTTACAGTGCTACTGATGTAGATGTGGATGCTATTTGATGATAATGATGGCCGGTCTCTTACTTCAGCTTGGTCTGTCCGTTTGCCTACCTGCCTGCCTGTCTGTCTGTCTGTCTGTCTGTCTGCCTGCCGGTCTGTCTCTCTGACCGATAGTGATATGAAGACCCGAAACCGAAAAGGCCAATGAGAAGGAGGGGGTGGTGATGGCCGAAACAGTGGTGATAATGTTGCCCACTATACACTAGTACTGCTATTATTAGTATTATCAGTCAGGCCAAACGAAGTGTTTCGTCGCTTGTGAGCGGAAGGAGCGGCGACACAGTTGTTGTTGATGATGACGATGATGGTCTTACCTCGCCTGTTGATTGCAATGGATGTTGCCAAAACAAAAATGATCAGGAGACTCGGAGAGAGAGAGAGAGAGAGAGAGAGGCAACCACAGAAGCGCTTATTGTTCATTATTTTCTTACATTTATTATTATCATCATTATTCTTCTATTATTATCAGTTCTAAGAGCGAAAGCTAATGAATGCGTAGCGAGTTGGCGCGGTTCAATGAAATATGCCGATTAGAAAAGAGCTAAGGGAAAAAGAGGGAGGGTCAACAAACCGAAGTTGAGCTGAAGAAAATTGACTCGCTGACGAAGACAGCTTTTCTTTGAAATACAGAAGGGACAAGCGAGAAGATACACGACTTGTTGCATTACAACACTGTTCGATGTGGCCCAGCAGTTTGCATTCGAAAATGCGGGAAGATATTGTTGCAGGTTGTGACTGACGTACGAGCTGGACGGCGGAGGTTATTCTCAGACATTACACAAGCCAATTTCCACTCGGGATGGAAACTGATCTTGGAACCAAAAATTATTCCAACCGCGCTTCAATCATCAAACATGGCACGCTTATTAATCCTTGTGTATAAAAATTGCTAGTTATTCCCAGTTGTAAGTTAAACTCTCAGAACATTATTCTCATTGTTGCAGCTACTCGAACAATTTTTCCATTCGTCGTAGCGATTTCATTATTCTTTCTATTATTTTTTTCCGTTTACAGGATCACGAGCCCCGAAGCTTAGAACGACTAATGCGAAAAAAAAAAAAAAAAAAAACACATTCAAGACGTTTAGAGGCTCATTGGGGTCCCATACTAACCACTGCCTGGCACAGCTCTCTGTTGGCAGCTTTAGCATAGACGGCGACATCGGCGACCGCTCCGATGAAGACCTATCGCTGCAGTGTTATCTTCAGGTGTTGTGTAAGCTACCTCAAACCATGCCATCCATCCCTTGCTTTTGTCACAAAGAAACAATGTCAGTTGTATTGTTTAACATTAACAAATAGCAGTCCGGTGAAATGGTCCGCGTTCTTCGTCCGGGGAATTAATTTAAATGCTGTTATTATTATTATGTAAGCTAAACTGTTCCCGATACGAAGGAACATATCCACTGAATGCGTCTCGGTGCTAAAGCCAATCCATGAAAATTTATTTTTCACTACCCCCGTCCCGTCTATGAGAAATGCTTAGCCCCAACGTAAACGTGGTTCTGTGCCTGGCGGCAATTCTTTTTCAGTTGAGCACTAATCCGCCTGATCCAGGCCAACCTGGAAAATTGCGCCACTTGTTTCGCTACTGCTGAGATCGTTTTACCAGACCGATGAGGTGGACCCGCCTTCGAGGCCTGCTGCAATTTCGGAGTCGAGCTGCGTGCGTCGTTGCCGTCTTCTGTCAAGTCGATGATTAAGTTGACCGAACTTTATGATATAATAACCTCCATTTGTTAAGCACTATGCCGCTTCATGGTCTTAGATAATAATTAGACAAAAAGCAGCTGATTTAGGTACCTCCTTAGATTGTGAGAGAACAAGCAAAAGGTTTTTCACGATTGTTTTGCAGTGTATCTGTACACAATTTTCAGCCACCGTAAAGTTGCTTAGTATGGGCGCGATCCAATAACGGAACTGTGAAGGATGGCCTGATCGGAACGAGAAAACACGGCCAGATGAACGGAACAACGGCCCTTTAAGGCAGCAATGAAAATCTGACGCTACATGACTGTAAATAGACTTTTAGCGAACTAGGTAATCAGAACAGCTCCTCAGGAGCAATGAAAGCGGCGAGTGGGATAATGCCGACAATATTGACGATATTTATCATGAAAATAACCAGGCTGACGGCACAAACCGTTACAGATTCGCATGACGTTGTACTTACAATAAAAAGCTATTACTGAAAATACTTTGTTTTCATTATTCTTGGAAATGTTTTTTGATGATAAGCCAAACTCCTAGACTAGAAATGATCTTCTCGTTCAGGATCGATAGTCGATCGTGTTTCGTTAGACTACCTCACCGAGTGAAAGACTGGATACTCGTGCCGTGTACCGTATGCTGAATCAATACCTTGCGGATGTGACATTGACGCGTTACCGGCACAATACGCTGGGTCGATCACCTTCCTGAGCTCCAAACGTTGCCTGATGTTTATTTCACGTCTCAGGAACGGACGTGAGGTAGAAGGCGAAGTACGATAGAGACTGAGCTCAGACAAACCGAAAAAGGGTTTGGTTCATTTATTATCTATACTTCATTCAATATCGAATACTCAGATGCGTTGCCCCTCAAGCAGCGCTCAATGGCAATGTTCCGGTGCATTAATGTGCGCTATCGGATGTCCAGTTTTTGAGATGTAGATTATTATTATTATTATTATGATCCGTTATTTGCAACCCATCCAATGAATATAGATCGAACATAGTCTATTACCACATAAAATATTGATCGATTGTTTGATGCTGTTCTTATTACAAAAAGGAAGATTGGAGATTGACCTACTATTGCTACAAGCCAGTTACTCGTCATTACGAATGTCATCATTTCGTCCATTTTGTCATAATTAAAATTCAATGATGCCTTTAGGCACATTAATAATTCAAAAATATTAATTCTTCGCTATAAATCTGTCGCTTTACAAAGAAAAAAAAAGAAAAAAAGCAAACGTATCGTAAAAGCGTGGTTAGTCATCCATCTCATGTCAGTTAGTTTCTTCCATATTTCGTCAAACGCGCTGGGATCAGCCGTCAGCGGCCCAGGACGATTCTCTTTTTTATCGGATTCCTTATTTTTCCAGAACGATTAGTCTCGGATAGGGCTTTCACCAGGTGCAACCGGCAATGCCTGTTTGGGTTCTGGTACAGTTGATTAACCTGGAAGGTCTGGAACGGAGCAGCTGGCGTGAGCTATCTAACCTAGTAGGGGGGATTAATTTTTAGCGATAGACAACCGCCAGTGTAAGAAAATTAAGGGCTGCACTAGTGTTAAACGAATCTGCAAAGGGTACGTCTAACAGCTGCAGTCGACAATACGAGAGTGTAAAAATTGTCACCCACCTAACGAATACGTGAACAACATTACTTTTGCCAACTACAAAAATAAATATACGCAGAGGCCTAAGGCACACTGATAAAAATTAAGGCGTAGTGAACATAATAGTTAACTCGATCGCTCAATGACTATGCCATAAAATATCCACTCTGGCCATTGTGTGATGATTATATGGCAGAGTATAACGAATAGGAGTATGATGAGGCAGTCCATCGAGCGGATGCTTTTCGATGACACGTGTTTACGTTCCATCATAAAAGAATCGGGACTGTTGATGATCATTGCTAAGGGGTTGCCTTATGCGGCGTTCTGTCTGATTATTCATTCATTTGTGTTCTTTTTTTCATTGTACATCGATTGTGGAATTATATCCATGACCAGAGCACTCACTGGAGGACCGAGTTTTCTTTCGCTAAGAAGCTAGATCGGATTGGCCCTCTGCCTGGACTAAAACTTGATGCAGTTTCTTGCGATACCAGCTACGGTCGTTTTGGAGGTGCCTTACTGCAGATTACAAACAAGAAGATTTTCTATACACCGACCCACTCCCGTTGAGATACTTTAATAATAATACTGTTAGAGTGTGAAGAACGTGCTAGCGCTTCTCTCAGTTCAACTTCCTTAATAGACCCGCATTAATAATGTACATAGATATGACAGCACTATGTCAAAATTTAGCCGTCGGAAGATCTATTTCTGAATTCAGTGACTTCAATTTGGGTAAGTCTTCTTAAACTCGCAGTAAAGTGCCTTTCTACACCAGCTTACCAAGAATATCCATATATAAACCACTTAATATGGCCTGAATGTAAAAATCGCTTTTTATAGCCATTCAGTTCGATTTAACTAGCGTATGGCATAGCTTGTACACAAGGGCCCTTTATAAAAACGAATACTAATATGAAACATAAGCGGGCCTGATCCAAAACACTGGTCCGCATGTTTTAATACATGCCACAGCGCCAAAAAAAAGTTGTAAGGGGGCCAAGTTTTTAGCTGGCGCTACAGCAGGGCCAATTATGCTGTAGAAGATGATGCCAATGCCCCTGACGGCGGTAAGGCGACACGATGACGCGAAGTGAAACAGGGCAGTTCGGATCGCGAAAAGGGGGTAGCGTGCGCATTTTTCGTTTTATTGCTGGCAAATAATCGGCGTAGCAATAGACGATAAAATTACCTTTGATGTTTTAGCCTAACATGATCGAACGGCCAATCATAACTGGGGGGATTGGTTCATTTGTTGAATCAACAATGTTAATGGTGTAAAAAACTTCTCTGAATCTATCATGGGCATCAATGAGTAAATGATGGTCCACGTAGAAAAATATAGCCATTTGTTAACATCTACACGGCATGCGCCTGTTCCCTTGAGGGCTGGTTACTTATGTAATTGTTGTTTGGTGATTTTATAAGCACTGTATAGGTGTCCTAGTGACGTGTGAATAATTTAATGTAAGAATGTACTTGATGTCGAAACATGTGTGACTGCAACATACATATATATATATATATATATATATATATATATATATATATATATGTACAACATACAACATACAAACATGCATGGAACACGTAATAAAGCAGTACCCATTACGAACATAACCGCGATCGGCCTGCAGTGTCCAACGACAATGATGACAGTAAAAACAATTATATATGTATTGTACAATAAAACTACTGAATAATTATGAATGAAGCTACACTCGCACTGCCCCATTCTGAAACCTATCGTTATTTCTTTCATACATGTCACTAAACCTCATCGTCTAGCAAAAAAAAAGCATGGACGTTGGCTGCGATCATAATAGCAGTAATAATAATAGAAGCGAGTCAGCAATGACGGCTGATCCTCGCACACAAACGCACATTCAAGAAGTCACACAGGCTACCAGAGCACTGCTGGGCAATCTACAATATAGGATCGCTCCGTTACACCATAAACGGCGTAACTAACGCAGATTACAGACACGCCAGAATAAACAACAGCAGAACAGGCCGTTGTTGCCTGTGTTTTTTAATGGTTGAGTCCCTTGAGTTCTCTCGCACTGCTCACTCTCTTTCTGTCTCTCATTCAGTCTGATCTACTGAACGCGAGCTCCTTGACTATTTGGTTTAACATGTTTGCTCCCTTCAGATTTTCTGCTGTTCGCAAAAAAGCGACTCCTGCTCTGACCCCTAGTGGTCGTCGTCGTCGACGGCTTCGGCGTTGCCTTTTTTTCGCTTTTCCTGAATTCGGATTTATGTTTCGAGAGGGAGGACTCTGCTCCGGCCAAGAGAAGAGGAGGGAAGCCTGTGCTCGATCGGAGTGAGGCGCCCAAACGCCGGAATAGCGCCGTTTGAAGTTTTCGTTGTTATTTCTTTATTCGTTCGTTGGCTCGTTTTTGAAGTTATCATCATTGCGTCCATTCTGCCGCTGCGAACAAAAGCTATTCGATGATCATAAATCGAAAAGCAGTCAAAGACGCTGGAGAAAACGCTCAGGGCAGGCACCTGCCGTTATTGTGGACCGAATTTCGATGACGGCGGCATAGGTTATGCGCGCCTGCCCACCGTGCCGTGTCATAACGTTCGATGGATAGCTTTTTTGGAGGCGGTCAAGTCAAAAACTTCGTGTTTTTATAGATATTGTAGTTTTATTTTTTGTCTGCAGCAGGCCTAGTTGGGGGCGAAGGGGGTTCAATTAAATGATGAGCAGAGAAAGAAGCTCTGATCTGGTTTTCTCGCTTGAAAATAACTATTGGCTTTGTTGTCTACTTTCTAATGGTTCTACAATTATATGTAAAGACGCATTCGTACAAATATGTTTACCGAATATTACTTCGATACTTCGGACAGCAGGGCTGATAAAAAGGAAAAACGTAAACAAAAAGCACAGAGATGAGACAAAAATCATACAAGGATCTAACATGAAATCTTTAAAGCGGTGCAGGATGCCGCCACATTTTTCGTTTCGCTTTTGCGTAGAGGCCTGCATACAAGGCAGTAGACCTAGTTGAACAAGTATCTAATGGGTCTCATTTCCTAGCAGGTAGCATTGGGGATACATCCATCGTTTTGAATTTGAGTAGGCGACTTTTGCAGACTAAAGCAATTCTGTTTATAACTAATACAGTGTGACTGACACTGAATTCGCTGAATATTAAATATTGATAAATTATATCGAAAACAGGTAACGTGTTGGGCACGCATTCTCCCTGAATTGTCACCAGAGTATCTCATGTTCAGTGGTCCTCTTTCAATTTATTTTTGTCCTATTGCCAAAAGCAAGCAGATGCATTATAGGTACAATCTAATGTGTTATACCTTATAGAAGCTTTTCTTGTCTTCTTCTTGACTTCTCTGACAACGATAATATGGATATCGGTTTTATCAAATCGTCTCTTTTGCTGATACAACCATGGTGATTCAATAATCATTACACTTGGGTGTCCGCATTGGCCATAATCGACGCTGGATCAGCAATTTTCGATCTAATCTGGCCGCCCCCGCCCTCCATCATACGCCATTGGTTTACATTTATTGGCGTCGTTGGCACCGTCGCAGTCTACATGAACATGAACGGCGTGTGTAAAAACACACGGCCGGCCGACTGACGTGATAACCCCTCCACATGCCAAAGACGTATATTTGTGGGTGCATCTATTTGATCGTTTCTTTCCGTATAATTTTTTAAATAATAATAATAATAATAATAAATATATTACAACAGATACCACCCAACAATTAGCTTAGATTGTAGCTCAGTCAAGACAATCTACATGCCACAGACGTTTTTTCGGACGACGCCGACCGCTTTAGTTCCCGGCAGACGCATATAATCTCCAATCACGTCTTTCTCTGTCACTGTTTTATGCCTTACAACGAATCTGTATTAGAAACAAAAAAAGCAAAGAAAGAGCTTTTTTATTGAGTTTTATGCTCACCGAAAACTTTTTTTCGTTTCTTCACAGGTTTTCTCGCGCGATTTCCTCATTTCCTCCTCAGCTCCTACTCTATAGGTAGGACAAGGAAGTCGGTGTCCTACATCTGGATGTTTTCTTTCTATACGTTCCTCACGATTGCCCTCTGTTCCAACTTCTATTAATGGCAGCAGCCATTAAAGTTCTACCCATAGCTCCCTTCCCATCCAGTGATTCGCAGCAATCGGCCCGTAGCTGCGCAAACAGCCGTTGTCTATGCAACCATCGCTGCAAGCGATTTTATCTTTGCGTAGTAACGGGCAAAGAGTTGAATAACTGCCTTCATCCTTCCATTTGATTTGCCCTTCTCCCATTCACTCAAATAGAATGAAACAGAGAAGGAAGCGCAACATAACACGCATCCGAATAACGCAATTTTGCTTCATCTGACAAACCATTCTTTTCATACTCGCTTCTCCGCGCCCATCGTTCCCCCCCCACCCCCACCTCCACTTGCGTCCAGCTTGTGCTCCTTACCTCAGTTACTTGCCTACCGATCACTTGCTTCGCCGCCGCCTCAACGACCTCAGCCTTCTAGTCCTCCTTTTATTTTTCCTTTGTCCGTCTCATTAGCCCGCGCCGACGAACACCGTATTGCCCCCACTATCAAGCGCTGTTTATATTGGCCACCAGCCAGCAATCCCCTATACGGTGCGTGGCCACTCTACTACCATCGCCGCGATCACCGGCAGCACAACGGATTATCCACCGGCGACTGGCATTACGACTGATCAATTGCCTATCCCAACCAACGGCGACTATCGCGCCGCCGCAGCCGCCGCCGCCGCCGCCACGACAACGAAGCAGCGGCCCCACTGCCCCAGCGAACCACAACCAAGGGAGAATGCTGCTGCTACATCGCCGAGCTCCAAGCAGTAGAGAGCAGTTGAACGCTGAGTGATGCTGCTACAACAGTAGCAGCAACAGCGGCAGCAGCCTCAGTGCCTCCGCTGGCAGTGAAGCAGTAGCAGCGACCACTGACTGGTGGCAGTGGACGACATCAACGCATCGCAGCAAAATCAACGCAGATCTGTGCTATTAGTCGTAGGTGCGGCGGCGGTAGCGGCAGCATCGCCCCTCCGTTATTATGTCCGCGGCATCGGCCGGCTCGCTGTTGGCTGTCGACCGCCGGCGCGTCCGTTTTGATTGGGATGTAGAGGGCTCTGATGTCGTCAGCAGAGGCGGGGCCTAAGGCATCGATACTCCGCCTCCGGCGGGACCCGGCGCGGGCCGCTCACCAGAGTCACATGTGACGAGGCAGCACCGTCTAACATCAGCAGCACAGCGACGTATGAGTGCTCGAAGGCAGGCAGAGGTAGCTGTCGCGTTGATCTCCTCTGGGTAGAAGCAGGAACGAAGATCTGTCTGCTGTTACTGTTTAGCGCGGCAGACAGTAACTGTTGAAGCAGACAAGCAGACAAATCGATCGAACAGGGCTTGACTGGCTATCTGATAGTGACTAATGCAGGGTTGACAGTACCCGGAAGGAGAGAGGAACGTACCGTGAGTGGCATCGTCGAGAAAAACGGAACGTAAATACGTCAAGACAACGACGTACCTCTCGGTCATAGCCGCTGTCTGGAGTGTGCTCGTGCTGTGGTCGTGCTAGATAGCTTAAGAAATAGCTGTAAAAAAGTGTAGAATGGTTTTTCTTTCATGTAGATTGCCGTGTGCCATGTACTTGTGACCTCAAAGGATCTACCCCAAAGTTAGGGCGTGTACAACTGTCTTGGTAACTTGAAAGTGCGATCTCATTTATCGGCCAGTAAAACATAAAACTTATCGGTAGCACAATTCAATTGAAAATAGAACTAGGTCGTTTGCGCAATCGAGGTTTACTATAAAATATGTGCGATTCATGCAATCGTCAGATCCAAATTATTGTGTACATGTGTAGGTTGTGAGATTGAAGAAGAAGAGTCAACGAAACCTCTCACCCCATCTTTCGTGTACCTTTTTTTCGTCATAGGTGAAGCTGTGAAGGGGTGTGTGTGTGTGGCTGTGGAAACAGTACTCAATTCCTCGTGCATTTAAAACACGGACAAAAGGAAAGCTCTTAGAACGTGTGGAGTGGACATCCAGGACATACCGATTATCGACTCAAGTGAAACGAACGAAAAACGAGTGGCGAATGCTGGATTTATTGATAATCAAGAAACAGCCGTGCGTGCGTATGCGATTGTACGGCGATTAACGGTAACAAAACAAACTGAAATATTGAAAGTGAAAAAAGTGGCAAAAAGGCCGGTGAAGTGGCCGAGGCCCACACGACGAAAGGGTACGTATCACCGACAAAAACCGCTAGGAGATGACGACGCTCCAGGTGTAAGTGTGAACCCCAAATTTCTGTGACAGAACTCTGTCGTAGTTTACTGCACACGCCTCGCACCCTGCGCCGTGTGACGCGCCCTTTTGAAGTAAAATCGATCCCAATACTTCGTCACAATTCGCGTCAAGAACCGAGAACCCGTGCCCGCCTACAGAATGGAGTGCGCGGCAGATCTTGTCGAACAGAATATGGTAAGTACAGAAACCATAAGGTACGCTATGTAGAAAAACAAACATGAATTTGTTGTAGTTAAAAGCGCAATTGGCGTAAGCTCAAATATAACATCATACTATAGTTTGTTCCATCTAGTAACTAGTTTTCATCAAGTTGGAGTCATAGCTATTTGTTGCTGGCCTAAAGGCCTGCCTGCCTGCTCGTGTTTACATGCTTAAATTTTCTTGTAACTTGTCTAGTAATACTTTCTGTAGTATCAAAAAGTTAGATATTCGTAAGCCGAAAAAGATTTTTTATTATTTCACTTATTATTATTATTATTAAGATCACTTGTTTCAAGATTAGCTCATAATGACATGCACCAACTCAGGCAAATTGTACGTTATGTACGAATACAAAATTCCTAAGACTACAGACAGGTGTTTAACAGACCGTTTAGACTGTTCTTAATGGCATCATATTTGACTCGATAATTTTTACTAACGAAGTATATAGTAAATATAGCTGCCCTCCTCCATGCATCCAGACTGTATGTGAATAGCTTAAACCGCACTGCACGGAGGGACTAACTTATTTCGACCCATAAATTAAGGAAGCTACCATTCGTAGAACGTTCATTATTTGAACCTATCCTAAGCAGAATGAAAATCTATTATCATTAATAGAGCAACGGTACTACATTGTTCGACTGTATCAACTTCATGCCCATGATACTGCACTCATCCATGTCCGTCTTCAACTTCAACAATTAACTATCCGACCGACCTATTATAAAGGAAAAGAACTTCTAGCATTTTAGCGATTTATACGTTCGTACTACTGCTATAGCGTGTGACGATTATCGCGACAATTTCCCAGCGCATCTTTTCCACCCTCTTCCTCAGCATCGCTATCTTTCTTTGCTGGAACGGCTCAAAATATGAAGTTAAAAGCGATCATGACGGCGTTGTACGAAGCTGCTGCTAGATGGAGCTACGCTGGTCGGTAGTAGCAGCAGCCGCTAGTCGAAGTCCTTGTACCATGGCTATATCAATAGTCATGTGGTATATCATGTGGATTGTCTCATTGCGACTAACGGCTGCTAGTCAGCCCCCGTTTGAACAAATGGAACTGGACGGCAGCTCCCTTTCAGCTACTACTTACAGCCAGACACACAGAGGCTACCGAAGATTAGATTTCTTTACTTGATGACCAAGACGGCCACTGCTGCTATAACCAGTAGTCGTATGACAGGAACGACGACGGGAAATATGGCCATCATATGGACGCTGGAAGGATGCTGATGATAGCAATATGCAGATACCTATGATACGAAAGAAGTGGCGAAGAAAAAGAAATCAAGAGATATATACAGGTCGTTCAGGAGCGAAAAGAAATGATTCTTGGAGCCGCTGAACGAACCGAACGCAGACTGCGAGAAGGTCGCCTTGGCTGTCGTTAGTGAAAATCGCTCAATAAATGCTCCTGTAAGCCCTAACTGGAATTAACGGGAAGATCGTCGAATGGCGCGTCAAAGCTGGAATATATTATTAGATGAATCGAGTTAGCTTGTACAAGTATATCCGATATTGTTGTGCGGAGATGATGGCCAGGGAACGCATGTCTTGAAGAACAAGCTGGACAATACGAACGAAGCTAAAATGGATCCGCGTTTAGAGATAAAGCAATAATCAGCGTCGACCGAAACGTTTTCAACGACGTTCTGTCATCTTTCGATCAACTTTGATTCTATCCTTGTTTACGACGTATTAGAAGGTATCATTTCGTCTGGCCATAAATAATCGTCTAGATGTAAGGACAGGGAAACTTCTACCCATATTAATTTATATGCGGTTTGCTTGACGCGGACTATAGAGCAGATTCGTTCTCACTCACTGTGTCCTGGCGACCGCCGTTTTTCGAACGTCTCTTATCTTGTTTACCGCGTGTGGTCGCTCTTTTCGACTAATACGATGACATGTGACGCCAACTGTAGCCTGTTTTGCCGGCCAAGGCGTTCTTAAGATCATATCTATTGTACCACAACGGCGACATTGCAAGCTGGCAATCAGTTTGAGGCTGATCTGCACTCATCACCCCATGAATGAATTTCGACTACCCCCGCCTGTTGGAGCACTCGAATTGCATGTATTCGCCAAGCTTTTCCGCGGCTGGAGCATACATCTCCCTCTTCCGTATTGTTTCGAGCTCGAGCCTCAAGCAGATATCAGTCATACCCTTACATGGCCCGGACATACCTACAACATACGTTGCCGGGTTCACACCGGTCTCAAATAGGCTGGGCCCGTAAGAACCGTCAGTCGATTTATGGGTTCGCCATCGCCTTAGACCATTGCTGGTCTAGTCACTAGATGATCTCTTCGCGACGAAGGAACGAAAGAAGGATTGTGGCCGCAGAGAATTGCTGCAGGGAGAAAGCTGATCATGGGCCGAGAGGGGTTCATCGGCCGGCCGGCCGGCCTGCCTCTTTGCCCATCTACCTACGAAGCAGTAGCAGCAGCAGCAGCAGTCATCATGACATGATTTCTTCTGAGAATCGCTAGTCAATCGAGCAATTTCCCGTTAAGTGTTCTCCGTCGACGATATTCACCCGCTTCGATGTGGTCGTACCGATGGTGACTTTATGAATAATGCCAACTTCAATAACACGATCATCGTCGCTTACTAGCTCACGCGGTCTGCTAGGTAGATACGCGCAAGAGGTCGATGTATCTATCGATCGTTCTCTCTATTCTATACCACACGCACAGATACATACCTAGCAATATTACTAGCTAGACCTGTATCCAACTTACATTAAACCTTGCGAATCAATGCAGCTAACGCAGAAGTTTTGACCACTGCGGTTTGATATCATCGTCAGTCCTATTCGCGGCCACGGAGGCCAGTGAATAGCCGAACGAGTCACACTGGCGAATTAACGAGCGCCACAAAAAGCGTACAGGGATAACAGCCACGATGATACCAGGAGTCAACGTAAGTTGCTTCTAATCTAATCGATGGAGTGCGCAAATGAAAGAGAGGGCGGTACACTCCGCCGCGAAGCCGTCTACGCCGGCAACAGCAATAAAAGATAGCAACGTCGGTTATGTGTATGGCGTAAAAATGGACTAGTCCATAACAGGACAGACAACAGGGCAGTTTGGCGTGATGTTCCTAGATCTATCCGCATCCATGCCGTAGCTTTGAACAGTGGAATTGCGACCCATTAAGATCTAGCACTCTCTGCGAACACGATGTCGTTCATTTACCTATTAGCTACAACATGGAACCAATAGGACGAGAACTTGCAGAGGTCGAACCAAAGTTTAGCTCAGGCAGCGGCAGACACCGATAGACAGTGAATGACGCGCGTTGTTTCGGTAGAAATTAGGGGACGACCTAGAGCATCAAGGGAATAATAGCCAACAACTATCTCGTCGCGCTAAACCGCAGAAGCCTAGAATAACAGATGAAAAATTCTATCGCACTTTAATAATCGTTGCGTCGTCACTCGATGTGATAGTAGACCGGAATAAAGATGAAATTGCTTCGCATGCCATGACTGTTAAATGCTACCAATCTTTCCGGGTTCCTACTTTCCATTCTCCGTACGCAACTGTAAACTTTACCCCCGTATGTTGGAAGATAGCGAACGATAAAATGATTTTATCTCTATAGATCTTGATGAAGTGGCTATCCACTATTGCATCCAGCAATCTTCTAACACGAACATATATCTTTAACTTGCTAGACTCTCTATGCTGAGAACTCGATAGCTGCCACGACATAAGATTGTTCCTACAACTGCTGCTGAGCTACAATTACGACTACTACCGACGCCACTAGCGGCATTATTCCAGATGCGACTGTAGCCGAAAGATGAACGTAGACTCAAAGATCATACATAGATACGAGGGAATGGCCAAAGGACATATTGTGCAATAATGATCTTTTGAAACGATTGGCTTTTCGATGATATTCCCTGATCCCTTGAACGCGGGGGAGGCGTCTAGTCGTATAGGCTTGTAGTACAGCTCGTCATAAAAACAAGAGAATCATACATTAATATATATAATAAATATATAGGTGTCCATATTCATGGGTAGAAGGTGGCGTCGATATGGCAAGACCACAACCCGTTCACAGCGAAACTGGTCTTTCTCTACAACCTCCAACAGCGTTGCGTTGTAATGAAAAATGAATAATAATGCCAAGAGGGAAATCGTTATAAAACGTCAACGCGCCAGTCCATCGGAAACAAGACATCTAGCAAGAACACCCGCATCGAACCCTATAGTATACGTTGGCCAGCTACGAAGTTATCGCCATTTCACGACACTTTCTCGGCGTTCAGTACTAGAGTCGGTCCAGCAATAATGATCGTGGTCCTCTGCTGGTCTTTTATTGCACACTGTCGCAGTGTTCAAACAACTGAATGTCTATAGCCGTTAGCCATAGATGCAATCATCGAACGGGCCGTTGATAGTACAAGCTTTATAGTACCTTAATGGCCATGGCCTCCAGTATTTGTACTACCGCCTGTCGGGTGCTGAAAGGGAAAGCCTGCATGCTTTCGACATCGAATAAGGCGACTTAAAGAAATGCACCGCACGTGAGCACATCTCGAGATGATGTGCCCGATAGGGTTACTGCTTTTGACTGCAAACCTTTTCGCGCAGTACACGCACACACAAACATACGGACACACACACGCACGCACGCACGCACGCACGTACGCAGAAATCATCCGAGTTTTCTCTAATGTTTACGCGAGAAAACGACACTCTTGAGCCACAGATCCAAGGCAATCGGTTGAGCGGGTGGTCCGTTCAAACAGTGTGGCGGTCCTTCAAAACGGGTCGGAATTATTGCAAAAGAAAGCAAACTCAGGGCTGGCAGGGGGAGGAAGAACAACCCCTACAGCAATAGCTCAATAGTTCAAGAATTGCCCCGCAAGTAACCGCAGAGGGAAGGATGCTGTTTAAGTCGAGCTGTGATTGAATGTTTTCCTAGCCTTCTTGCGGTAGCGTCCGGC